CAACAGTCGCTCTTGATTGCGTCGTGTCTATTAAGCACAATGCGCAGACGCTAAACGCACCTGTTGCTTGTTGTTGTGTACTGTTGGAAACGGTCGTATCTTCAGCCTCTTTCAGTTCAAAAGGCCTACTTGACATGTCAAATTACGGGCCGTCATTCACATAGATCGACGAGAGACAACCATTTTAACACTCAATTTATCGCCATTCAGAGACGGGGTCTGCGAACATGTGGCCTCGAGCGGGGACAAGGTTCAAGATTAATGATAATGTAAGGTTTGAGGAACCGAATGGGGTAAAACACAGACCACATACATCGGCCTTTCTAGAAAGCTGGTTGTTGGGTCCGTTTCAAATACTTTGTCGCCCTGTAGGAACGAAAACACGATATCATCCCTCTGGACATCAATTTTCGGTGCTGCCATCTGATGAGCACAGATATTTTGTGTTGAGAACATTGCGGAGGGTAAGAACGGACCCTTAAACTCGTGCACAGACTAATAAATAAAAAAATAAATAACGATCGCAAGCATGGAGACAGGTCGAGGAGGTATCATGTGTTGTTGTTAAGTGTTCAATTGGTTGCATAAACTGAAAGAATTTAGTTGAAACCTGACAATTTTATTAATACAAAATACCCCAGGTATTTTGTGTGAGACTTAAAATTACCAAATTTTGAGTATGTCGTAGATATTTTGTCAAATTTTGAAATTGTTTTGGATTACTTAGAAAGAAACCATGATGTGCAATTTGAGAGAAAAGGAAAAACAGAACTGGCCCCGAAATGTTAAAAATTTCTGATTAATCTATTAATTTACAAAAAAAAAATACAGGTTCCACGTAACTATTAAGTCGCTTCATGCTAGAGTTATGGAGGGGATACCGGACTTTAAAGTTGGACCCAGGACACTAAACACATGGATTAGAAACGTTGGTTTTAAGTTTCATAAAAATAATAATCGATTGTTTCTAATGGAGAGACCATCCATTAAGCTAAGAAGAACAAAATTTTTGCGTAAATATCAGCATGGAGAAGAATGTAGATATATTGTAGTTCGCGCTGGCAATAAACTCGGATTTACTGAAGGAGCGTCTCTGGATTTCAAAGCAAAAACAAAGTCTGGTGATTATCATAACATGAACCAGGAAAATTTTGACAAGTGGTTTAAAGAAAAATTAATATCCAATCTTCCGGAAGGGTCTCTTATTGTAATGGATAGTGCAACTTATCACAGTAGACTTATGGTGTTTTTTTTAGTTTTGATAAGTACACTATACTTATATTTTTGTTTTATTTGTAGGAACAAATCATAGATTCGGCATGGCAAGCGGAAAAGATTCTGGAGAATTGTGAAAGAAATCAAGTCGTTATCAATATTAATGCGGGGCCAGTGTATTAAACTGATTTTTGAAACGTTATTTAATTATGTTTCAGATTCGAAGATTTTTTACGTTTTCCCGTTCTTGATGTTTTTTTGATTTGTAGGGTCGGTAGTAGCAGCACCTCCCCTCCTTCACCCCATGCTGTCACCAATGCGAATGCGGGTTATTGAGCGAGCGTAGTCGTGCTAGTAACGAAAGTGACTGGTAGATACCGCTGACGGTTGCTGTTACCGGACGGAGAAATTCGGATTTTGTATATCAGTTTTTTGAAAATTTTGAGTTGTTATCGCTTCTCGGCCTTATGGCTAAGATCAAAGTGTAGTATCTGTTCTTATCAGCTTAATATCTGATACGCCCCGCATGCGGGGCCAGTATATTAAACTGATTTTTGGAAATTGACGGAGATTAGGGGCTTGCTCCACCTCCGTCGCGGGTTGGCCCGGCACTGCAGTACAGTCGGGATCGGCCCACCTAATACAATTAAACATAATTTCATCGAACATATTCGGGACAAAATACGATAAAGGGCAAAATCACTGAAAAGAAAAAAATAAAAACTAACATGTTTTAGGTGTAATTTTTTGTTAATAGATTAACACTACAGGATGTTAAAAAGCAATTTATAATAATGTCCGCGAAAATATTTTAATAGGCAGCAAATGAAGGACTAGATTTTCTTTCTAAGCGAGGAACAGTTTTAATTATAAAATAATAATAAATTTTAATACGTTAATAAAATTTATTTGGCCTTTGTTGAAAGGAAAGTGGTTACAAATACAATTAAATGAGCATTCAAAATAACTTAATTTTCTACAAAATATGTTTTTTGGCTTCAATACTACACGTAATTTGGTGCATCGACGAAATGCCTGGAATGTTGAAAATATCTCTGTAACGCGTAGTTTTTAATTTTACCTGCTGTCTTAATCGCATCTTTTCATTTTTGTCCATGTCATTTATTTTCTTTCGATTTTTTAGATTGTACTCCGTGTCTTTCATTCTTTTTAAATTTCCATCTTTTTCCGACATTCTTACACGTTTTTTTTTTCTTTTCACGTTTATAGTCTCGTTTTCAGCTGCAGTTTTCTTCGTTTTCTTAAACATAAAATAATATGGCCGTTAGCCACTATAGATAAGAATTTATCGGTAAAATTAAAAATAAGGGGACCGGCGTTACAGGGGACCGTCGTCACAAAATACGTTTAATATATATATTTTGTAATTCGCAATAATCTGAAATTTAGCACATAACCATTTAATCAAATTGTTTTCAATGCTTTATTGGACAAACATAATACTTACGCTATAAAATTGAAAATACCGTTTATATCAGCGGGGACCGTCGTTACTTTAGAAAACATATTTTTTCAAATTACGAATAAATGATGTAAATAAAACGTGAAAACTACAACAACAAACAACTTAACTGTTTGGCCATTTTTTTCACTCACTTTGTCAACTTGTCAGAAGCAGTCACAACTTCTTCAGTTAAAAGCAATGATAACAATATCCATAAATGCTTACCAAATCTTAAATGATGCATTTGTAGGTACACATTTATTTATTTTTTTTGTACAACAATAAAGCAATTAAAAGACTTTTAATCATGTTTAAATAAATGTTCACGGTATTGAGTTTACAAAAATAAATTATACATAAATAACATGAATGCAGCAGTTGCCCACAATACGAAGCTTTTTGTAAATATCGCCTGGGGACAGGGGACCGGCGTTACATTTTTTAAAAATTTTATGGAAAACTGCAACTATGTATCACTTAATATTAGTGAACTGTGTAATATCTAATAATTATAAAGTCATTGTTTGTGATAAATTCAATATTTAAGAAAAAATTAAAAGAAAACACAGATAAATGTGGTAGGAACACGTTTTTGCCCATTATCGTATTTTGTCCCATTCACGGTAAAATCACGAAGTTTTCAGATTTTCGGGAAACTAATTGCAATATTGGTGTTAAAGTTCAACAGTCCGGCACGTGCAGGAAGTACAGTGCGCAGACGCTAAAACGCACCTGTTGCAACTGTTTTTGGACGAAACGGTCACATCTTCAGGCCATTTCAGACAGGATTTCAGAAAACAAGTCTTGATCTTGACATGTCAAGTGACTGTATTCTGAAATATTTGAAATTTGACAGTTTAGTTGCATTGATTTTGATGGTTAAAAGCTGATCTTCTGGTGGAATTATTGTAGTTAAGTGTAATTTTCACAGAGACATTCTGAAATACATTCTTCATGTTTTGATGGGACCATTGTTTACTCTTTAATTTTTTTATAAAAAATTAAAGTATATACCAGTAGCAAGGGACATAAGGGAAGCTGTTTCATTTCATCGTAGACAAATAAAACATTTATTAGGATTCCACATAGTTTGTACTGTAGATACCGAAAAGCAGGTATTAGAAGTAATTTTCTTAAGAGCCCCGTGAATAATGTGTTCTTTTTTCAACGAAAATTAGTGCATTTTCAGAATTCACTATATATCATATCATTGATATCAAGTTTATCGTTATTACTAAAAAAGAGTACCACATGTTCGTTCAAAGAACGTTATTAAGTGTAGTTACTAAAACATAAATACCGCTTTTGGTTAATCGGTACTTATCATTTTCAATAAACAGTATCAATTTTTACTGAACAGCTTTGTTGCTGATAATCTAAACAACGAAGAAAGAGACGAGACTCCACTTCCCTGGTGTATTGAGATCATAGGTATCTGCTGTGGTGTCAATCATATGGGGAAGATAATGAAAACGGAGACTTATTTAAGAATAATATGGATGTTGCACATGATGATTTAAAACAGTTTCTTTAAAGTTGTGAGTACTTTTTAGAGACTGAAAAGATACGAATAAAAAATATAACAAAAATCGTTTCGTTGCTTTTTTTTTATTTAAGAACAGTACAAACTATAAAAAAATCAGTACCAGTACCACTAAGTTATTGACGTCTTATTCATATGTATAAAGAATATTTTGAAATGATGTTAATTTATGAAGAATGTAAACGCTATGCAGCCACTGTGTTTCGTCGTTTGTGGCATCTAGCAAAAGAAGATGAATCTTTTCAGCCTATTCGGGAAGGCCTTCCTGGGGCTCCACGGATTGTACGCGTAGACAGTGAAGAACAAGTGGCACACATGAGTGGAGGTTCAAGATCAATCATGCATCGTATCCTTACAGACAAAAAGCTGCATGCTTAGGGGAAACCTACCTATGATTGCATACTTAACTTTGACACCTTAGTATAACCTCCTCTATGATTTTAGGGATTTTTTGTGGGTAATTTAAACGAGCAATTATATTGAAATTGATATTAATTCATCAAATTTTCAATATATTCAATATTTATTTTGAAAAAAAATTAGAACCAAAAACCATGAAGTGTGCCATCATAGGCAATACTCTTCTTATGATGGCACACCCGAATTTTTAGAGTTTTTTTTAAGTAATGTTAATTTTTATTAAGAATTGACGGGCTATTATGAAAGTAATAAAATAGATTTAAGATACAGGACTACAATTTGTAGCAAAACGAATCAAGAAACGAATAAACTAAATAGAAATCATCAAGTAACGAAACATTAAGGCAAAACTTAACAAAAAAAACTTATTCACAAGGTTCGCAGATGAATTGCTTCATTCTTTTTTCAACACCCGCGCACTCACTGTGGCACCAGGAACCACAACTCTGACATGAAATCCACATTTCTCTTGTTTTCGACCTAGAGAATATATCATTGCAATATAAACATGCAACATCGGCTTCATCGTCATCAAGATCTTCAACCTTTTCATTATCACTGACATAATTCGTTTCTTCTTCAACCAAAATCTTCCTTTTTGCTTTTCTTGATAACTTTTCCCTCTCCTTTGTTGTTTTTCTTCTACTTCCTTTTTTAATTCATCAATGTCTGGCGTGGAATTTATATGTCCTTTTTTACTAGGTTTTCTTAATCTTTTCCTTGAAGCTCCAAGTGAAGCTTGCGGCAATGGAGATAGTTCCTGAATACTATAATATCTTCGTTTCCTCGTTGACGGAAATCTTTCTGTCATGGACTTAGCTTTGGCAAATCCTGATGTTGAAGGTTCAACTTCAGTAGCTTCTGGTGTTCCAGAGCCTAATTTAGGCAGTTCAACGTCTGCGCCTCCTTGTTGTGGTTGTTTTTGACCATTTTGGTCATGTTCGGTTAACGGTCTATCAGTTGTGAAAGAGGATTGGAACATCCAGTCAGGAAAGATGTTGTCATCGAAGGGATATATTCCTGTTTTGGCAAACGCGTGTACTGCATTTGCGGGTGTAGCAGCCTTCAAATACGCTTTATTGAAAAGCCCAGCTACTTGGAAATGTGTGACGATTCTAGCAGGATGTTGTTTAAGCCAAGTCTGAATTTCTTGGCCGTAATAAGTTTGGAGAGGTGAAAAAAAACCTACATCCAGGGACTGTAGCCGGTGGGTACAATGTGCGGGAAAACAGAATAGTATCACACCATTATCTTTCGCGTATTGTAGCACTTCTAGGCTTTTGTGGCTGCTGTGGCCGTCCAATAAGAGTAAAACCTTGTTTTCATTCGAAGCTTTAGTGTAATGTACAAAATGTTCCAACCATTGTACAAAAATCTCTGAACACATCCAACCGTTTAGTTGACAATAGGCTTTGCTGCCCATTGGAGCGTTGTCCATCAGCTCATTCAGATTCGTCGATGTTGTAAATATTTTCTGGTGGAAAGTTATATTTTTCCATAACCTCGTTCAGAGATTTAAAATATAAAGCGATATTATTTTTATTGAAGGCTTGTGCCCGAGCAGCTGAGGTGTTTTCAGGCCTTCTGAGAAATATCTGTGGATTTCGTTTTAAAAATCCCTGAATCCATTTATCACCACCTGTTTCTTTTTCTTTGTTAAAAGGGTTTTTTATATTATTTTTAGATGCAAATTCGAAAATTAACTTCTTTAAATCTTTTAATGTTAAACCGAAGAATTTAGCTTCCATATCCTTTATATGTTGAACAAATTGATCTTCCATCTCCCGACTAAATACTGGTCTTTTACCCCCCAAATCTCCTTTGGTAGTGTTACAATTGTTTTTAAATCTTCTGCGCAGTGTGGTAGCAGGGACATTGAAGATTTTGGACGCTAATTGCCATCCCATCTACTTTTCGCAAAGCCTCTACTATGTTTTTTTTCCTCCCATAACTGCGTCTTAGCCTTACTGGACATTGTACTTGAGGCTGCAAGTGACATTCCTCTGTCATAAAAAAAGACTTCTCAGTTTTTATGAGAGTCAAAACCTTATACCTATGATGGCATACTATGCCATCAAAGGAAAAGCTTTGGGATGCCATCATAAGGAAATTCGAGGTTTTATTAAAATCAGTCTCTGTATTTTTTCATTTACTACACAACCCTAAACTGGCACCTGTATTACATGTGTCATATGTATAGAAAACATGAATTAAATTGGTGCCCCTGAGTTAAGCATAATAAGAACATGATTTCAAATTGATTAATATGTAAAACTTACTTCGAGAGTCAACAATATTTCATTTATTTTTCTGCCTTTCAAGAAACAGCCCTACACTCACACTGCTTTGTAGACATTCATGTACCAGTAAGGATAGCATCTTGAACAGGTGATTTGACCGCGAAATTCAAATGGTCCAAAAAATTTGAAGGCATGCCATCATCATAGGCTGGTTTTCCCTATTATTGACGAAAGTGCAGCATCTGCGACGACCCGACTGTGCGACGAGTGCATTTTGCTCAATGGTTATTGAGGTAAAATGAATCACTGAAATGGAGGCGGGGTGGGTGGGCGCGGTCCGCCCTCTATTTAAAATACTCTAAAAACATCCTGAACGATAATTATAATAAATTTCCTCAATTTACCCTAAAAATGCAATTTCAGGGCCATCGTGGGACTCATAGACGACGAACTAGACAATCGACTCAACCTAGCGAATATCAAAGCCGAACCTCTGAACTCTGTAGTTCATTGAAATAAAATCTAGTGACTTTTCACCCGTTTTTTATTTGTCATTTATATGCCATTTATGATCTTCTTCCTCCTTGTAACAGTCTCATGTACGAATGAGGCGGCAGATTTGAATGTAGGTACCACACTCTTCACTAAAGCCGACAATTGCAAGGAATGCTGGTCTTCGGAAAGTCTCGCCCTGTTAACTTCTCGTATGATCCTGGAGGACTTGCTTCCAAGCACGTCCATTTTGGTGATCGATTCGAACGAATTCGTGAGCGATTTGGTGGAGTACTTTCGAATGATTCTTGAAACGGTACGACAAGAAACTCATGGTAAAACTAAACACATAACGTTGCTAGCTTTAACAGATTTACTAGGTATAAATTTTAACTCTTGAAACAAGTCTAGTGGTTTAGCGTTTATTTTTAGGGGGTTATTTACACCACGCGGTTCTCCCTATAGCCAAATACGCGTATTACGCTGGACTGATCGATTACGACAGCATGGCCACGTTATTGGGGCTTTTTGACGAACTAAAGTGGTTCCTGAGGACGAACGGACAAGGATGGGCGAAACCTCTACCTCAAAATAGTAAGTCACGTGGGTACTACAATAGTTGGCTACAGTGTTTGTCCACCCAGTGGAGAATTTCGAAATCCAACGAATCCCTCTGCAACCCATTTCCGATAAGGACCAATGCGCTAATTTAATTTTTGTGGAAGGTAATGCACCCGACGAAAAATCCAGTCGTTGTGACGCCACCATCCCTTTGCCCTTTTTCGATTCCATTACTCGCCCTAGCGCTATTGCTCTCCCTACGAAAACTTGCCCTTTGTACAACGTCGAGTCCAACACTTCGAGTTACTTGGTGATGAAGTTCTTCGTCACGTCTTATAAGTGTCTTCAGTGGAAAAACGTCAAGACTGAAAACATGGGGAAGTTTCAGAATGAGTTTTGTCACTGGATCGAGGAACAGATTCTTCCGCGTCTGCAGGATGAGAAGTTCTATTCGGCGTTTGGGGGTGTGTTAAGGGTGAGGAATACTTTGAAAAGACTCGGTAAATACAAACTATAATTAAAAGTAGGTATAGTTGATCAAGAACAAAATTCTCTCAGGTGTCACTCAAAACAACCTGGAGAAACAACTGGACGAATTCCGGCACGCCGCAGATCAAAGTCAAAACGAAAATCTAGCCCCTACAAATAGCCAAATGAGCACATCGTCCATGATTTTGACAGCCGTGTTAATAACAATCTTTGTTTGGTTCCTTCTAGGCACACTCTTCATCTGCTACAAAATGCGACAAACTAAACAAAAAGGTCGTAAGTTTCAACGTTGACTTAAACTAATTCAAATAGAGAGTTACAGGTACTAGTTCTTCTCCTGAAGGAGGTGAAAAAACAACAACTTGTTCGTCTCTAATCTCCAGCAAGTACTTCTACCCAGAAAAACCGAAGCTTTGTGTGGAAAATAAAGGTAATAAAGGTGTTCGTCGTCATGAGATTATTATCAAGGCGTGTCGATGTGACAATGCCAACGACGAAGAAGAGGGTGATGAGACCACCCTGACGCCTGCCAGTGCGGGGATGGCGGACTCTTCGCACACTGATGGTCGCTTGCCGTCCATCACGGAAATGTCTGAACAGTCGACCTCGACGCCTAAACGAGCAAGAGGAAAAAGGTCACCTGGGGGAAGCACGACCGCGGGTTCGAATGATCCAAAGTAGTGTGAGGTTTTTTTTTTTGGGGGGTTGTAGTTGATGGTTGTTTTTTAGTCGCACTGTGGTGAAGAAGCAGCTCTTTGATATGACGGATTCGGAGAGTGAGGACTCTACGGAGCCGCCGTGAGTGTGAGATATATAGTGGGTTTATATTGTTTTTAATAAAGATGTTTTTACAATCTGGTTTGTATTATTCGGGTGAGGTAGTCACACACGGAAGAAAAAAAAAAATAGATACTAAGTACACTATTAACACTTTGAACAGTTCTTTGCGCAATCGAAGAAATCTGAAAACCTATTTTGTATTATTAAAATTATAGATTATCTCTCTTAATTTGACTATACTACCTAGTGAAGTATTGAAGAACTGCCTGTTTTGTTAATTCAACTGTAGTAATAATAAAAAATTGCAGACCCTTTTAAAAAATTATTTTTTTTTATTTTATGAGCAATACAGAATAAACAAAAAGTCGAAAAGTATGGAAACTGGTGGAGACCAATTGGAAAATCGGGTCAGGTCAGGTCAAATCAAGTCAAGTCATGTCAGATCAGGTTGATTTTTCTTTTTGATTTTTTAGTTTTACAATTTTTCAACTTTTAAATTTTTCGATTTTTCTTTTCACAGTTGTTTGATTTATCGATATTTACAATTGTCAGTGTAAAAATAAGCCCTAGGCAGTGACTATGTATTTAACATCTATACTCACTGCCCTAGGGGAGTTTTATTTGGTATCAACTTAGTTCAACAGGTGGTGGTTTTTTAATTTTTGAATAAACAGTACATCGAAAGATTGTCACGTATTTAGAAATTAGTTTGATTTGAATGAACAAAATTGAACAAAATGTTCTTAATGTCATTATTTTTTATGCGGTTTCTGCGTGTATTCTGTGTTGCCTATGCGGCAATCATTATGGTCGGTACTGTCAGTACGGCGGGTATATGTCTGCGTATCACGCATAGATTTTGTTCGTGGTTATTAGATTAGAAAAGCCGTAATCTCGAGTGTATTCTGAAGGTCACATGTGTCTTAAAGCTGGTACGTTGCATTTTGTTTACTAAATTTTATCAAAGTGCTAATCTGGAGTAGATTAAAAAGACAAAAAAGACACCAACGTTATCCACATGTGTAAATACTTCAGTAATTAACTAATTAGTCAACGATTTTATTAACAATCCTCCTTGCAAAATCGTGGCGAGGTGGGAAAAACCTTGTATCGTGAGTCAGTGTATTTGATTCCACTGCTCGTTTGTACATATTTGTAAGGATAATATTGTTATTTTATTTGACGCAATTTGTAGAAATAATGCATTTTTATTTTCTTGTATGACGACGAAGAAATGGGTAATTTTTATACACGAGATATTTCAATGTAATACGTTATATCTAATTTATAATATTTATCGAACTGAGTAAGTTTCCTGTACATTATTGCGACACTTCTGTATTTTATTTTGAGTGTATTTTGTGTTGCCATTTATGTGTTTTCAACTTGAATGTTGAATATTTTTTCCCGGACACTTCTTAGAGTGATGTGTGTACCAAAACTACGTCATTATGATTTTATATATAGGAAGAATATAAGATTTGAATTTTGTAAATATGAATGTCATATTTTATAACTGATTTTCAGGTTCCGGTATCCACTCAGTGAAGAGTTATCAATATCATTATGGAAGACGTGGTCGATAGGTCCGAAAAAAAATTACACACAAACACAAATTCATCACGTACAGAAAAGGTATTACAATTTATAGCTTAAAGAAGTAAAACCACCGTTGGTGTTTTTTTTTTGTGACGTTTTAGAACTTTCGGAAAAGACCTGGTACCACCGACAAAGGAAAGAAGTACGAAAATATGATAACTGCCAACATCATTCTTCACATGGTACAGCGGGATGAAGTAAAAAACTTCTACGTCTCCTCGGACGATGCAAATTTTGGAGCATTTGATGATGTGGTTGTTGAAATGGAGACAGATGAAGGAATACAGACAAAAGCAGTGCAATTAAAACACAGCAACAAGCCAGGAAGTTTAGGGATACACCGACTGGCAAGCGAAAAAGGAGATTTTAGCCTACTTAGATATTATAAATCGTTCCAAGAGATAAACAAGAAACCACATCATTCCATTTTGTTCACGAACCTTAAATTTAAAGTTTCTAAAGACACAAAATTTCAGCTCGACGGAAAAGAATTTTTCTTGGAACCTTACAAAGTAGAAATTGCTGATGATTGTTTGAAAATTTCTCAACATATAAGTCACTGCTATAAGTTCCGAATTCGAGAAGACCAAGATGATGCAGTGGTTCATTCAGAACTTCAACAGTTCAAGACATTTTTTGAAAGCTTTAGTCTTTATTCTAACCAAGAAAGTCTGGAGACACTTGAAAAATCGACAGCGAGTAACTTCGTGAAGACGTTCTGTTCTAATCAAGAAACGTTCGAAAAGTACGTTAGAATTATATCTGAGTGGGATATGCTAGAAGGATCAAAAATAAAGTTAGACAAGAAGCTGATGCAACGTACAATTGCGCTTTGTCTGTTATCTCCTTACGTTGAACATTTTACTTCTGGTCCAGTCAGCGACAAAGGGAAAATTCTTCGAGAAGCAATTTGTTCATTTGATATTACGCTGTTGGAAAACGCTGAGTGCGATGTGGTGAAAGAGTTGTGGGACGACTTGGACAAGAATGTTGACATCAAGGAACTAAATAGACTGAGATCTTTTTATCGCCTTTCTCCTAATTATATATCCAAGATAGAAGATCTAGATGGGAATGTGTTGGCGCAGTTGTTGTGGTTGATGGAGAAACGTCCCCTAATTGTAAAAGAGCACGAAAATATCGGAAAAGCTATTCAACTTTGTCCAGATGGTAAATTCATCTTGATTGGTGAAGGAAAACGGGGAGAATGGATGAAAGGTCGTTCCGTGTTTCAGAACTTGATGGACTTGAAATCAGAAGACAATTTGTATGAAACAGTGATGCAGAATTTTACGATTTCCTTCCAAGGGAAAGGTTTGCTTAATCTGATGGATATATGTGGAGGAAATGAAGAATTTTTAAAGAATATTATTGTAAATAATCTTTTAGGAATGATAGACGGTCCACGCTTGATAGATGGGAAAAAAGAAGTTCTTCCCAATCCTTACATCGAAAGGTATTTGTCGTTAAATGTTATAGATATTAAATATTTAAAACATGTTAATCGTAGTACGGTAGTTATTCTAAATTGTGCAGATAGTTCTAATGAAGTAGAAAAACTTCCAAATATTACACTGACAAACATCGACGATTATTTAAATGAAGCAGAATGCAGAACTCCTGATGATCCAATTTTCATTATAAGTAAAAATCATTGTAGCGAGTCTGAATTTGAGAAAATATGCTCCAAAACTCCAAAATCAAAAACTGTTCATTATTTCAAATTTCTTAAAAACAACATTTTAGAATGGGTCCGGAGCAAAGGCGATGTCGGAGATTTGCAAAATTATAAATTAACTAATCATTCTAAAAACGAAAACGAATTCTGGTCCTCCGAGTTTAGGAAGAACATTAATTTAGTAGTAGGTGATCCGGGGATGGGTAAGACTGAACTAACAAAAAGCTTAAAAAATAAGTGTTCTTCTAAATTCTGGACAGTACTTATTAGCCCTCAAGAAGTGAATTTATTTTTTAAACAATCAGAAGAGTGTAAAGTATCAAATCATGTAAATTTATTTGAAAAATTCGTCTTAGACACGAAATATCAATCTCTTAGAAGGATAGACAAAGAATTTTTTAAATTGTGTTCGGATCAAGCGCGTGTTTTCTACGTGTGGGATGCCCTTGATGAAATTTCTACTAAATATTTGGAAGACGTATCAGATTTGATTGTTTTGCTATCAGAGAAAGGATTCATCCAATGAGTTACCAGTAGAAAACACTTGAAATCTTTCCTTGAAAAAAAATTTAATACACTTTCGTTGAACATAAGTCAGTTTAACGAGCACGAACAAGAAGATTATATTAGGAAACGTCTTGATTGTATCGTTTCAACCGACAACATAGAAAGTGCTGTTCAAAAAATTAAATCTAGTTTTGCTTTCATAACACATGTCGATATTTTAGGAATTCCACTCCAAATATTTATGCTCACAGAGATAGTTCTTCAAAACAATGACAAATATTTAAAATTATTTGGCGATTGTTGGCGCTTGACTGATCTATATCATTATTTTATAGAAGAGAAATTCAACATCTTCTATCAAAATAAGTTGTCTCTTAACATCCAGGATTCTTATTCAAAACGTGTGTTTAACAGTGATAAAGAAAAAATCTTAACACACTATGCAAAACTTGCAGTTAACCTAATATTTTCGGACTGCGAAGATATTAAATGTCAAGAAGATACAGACAGCAGTTGTCACGAATACGAATCCATTGGTATTATAACTGGTTTCCAAAATAACACACCGCTTTTTTTGCATGCATCTTTTGCGGAATATTTGACTGCCACGTATTTTTTGAAGAATTTTCAAGTTATACCTGGGGATATATTTTTTCATCAGAAGTATGACAACGTACGATTTTTCTTTGATATGTTGTTGGGAAAAAACTCACCAGTTCACACTGCAGTCTTGTACAGAAATTTTGACGCTCTAAAGGGTTATGACGACAAAATATCAACAAGTACAGACGGCGGTGGAAGAAGTGCTTTACATTTGATTTGTTCGTGGGGACAACGACATTCCCGTCGACCTTTAAGAAGTTCTAAAATAAACAGAAATTTCATATACTATACTTCAGTCAGTATATTGTATTTATAAAATTCTACGTTACATTATATTCATATGTAATACTCCCTATGCACTAGATTTTTTAAATCTATTTAATTTCGAGAATGTAATCGTTGTCGTGCAATTGGGTTAGACTATTATCTGTTTTATTTATTTAATATGGCTAGGCTTATTTGAGATAACTGTATTATTGTCTTAATTCTCTATATTTCCATTTTGTCTTATAATGTTATATTGACGTTTACCAAACGTACTGTCCGTTTTTTGTACTAATGATTTAAATAAAAAAAAACTTTGTATTTGTTTATTGTAACCGGATTTTAATAGGCTATCAGTCGTCGCCCGCAAAATCGGTTTCAGTGAGAAGAATCATTTTTTGTAACTATGCAACCCAAAGTACCGATCCACCGCAGATACCGACCCTAAAACACGAGAGATCATGGTCATTGTAGGGAGTCCTTCATAAAATGCAAATCGGTAAACAACACCAGATAAGCTTATTTATTTTCAAATGAAGGGTACAGGGAAATAACCATCGAAATCCATTTGTATGTATTTTGAAAGAAATTGAGTTGCTAACACAGCTTTTTATTTTCTTTATAATGTTTTAAAAATATATAAAATAAACTGTTTATGTTCAAATATAACAGCAAAAAAAATTGGTGGAAAGTTGTTTCGACAGAACTTCCCTCGCACCTAAAATACAATGAAACATATCCAGCATTTTCGAGTTAAATTTTTACTTTAGGTACACAATTTGGTGATGAAATCATCAACATTTTGCAAGGACACGTAAATCAATGTGGATTAGATTAAAAATAACAGTATTCCAAAAATTTCTGGAAAATGGAGTGAGTCGAGACTGATTTAATCAATAGAATAAATTGACTCATTCATTAATTTTTTTGAGCCACCTAGGTATATAAACAAATCTAAAAAATATGAATGCAATGATAAATTACAAGTAAAAACTCATCATATTTTGCACATTTTTAGTAGAATTTATTCGGCAAAATTTTGAGATGACGTTATCAATTTTTTAGTAGCATAATCCTGAACTTGTGGTTTATAAATACATATTGAGATTTTTCGGCTTTTCGGTTTTTCGATTTTTCAACTTTTGATGTTTCAATTTTTCAGTATTTTAATTTTTGACATTTTAAATTTTTCTATTCAAATTTTCGATTTCTCCATTTTTTTATTTTTCGATTTCTCAACTGTCCGATGTTTCACTTATACGATTTCGCAATTTTTCAATTTTTCGATATTTAAATTTTTCAATTTTTAAAATTCTAGATTTTTCGATTTCTCGAGTTTTCAGTTCTTCTATGCATATTTCAGTTTTTCAATTTTCCGAATTCATTAAATTTCTGATTTTCAATTTTTTTTTAATTTTTCGATTTTCCAGTTTTTCGATGTTTCGATTTTTCAATTATACGATTGTTCAATTTCTAAATTTTAGATTTTCCAATTTTATTTTTTTGATTTTTACATGTTTGGACTATTTATTATTGCTAAAAATAAAAGTAAAAAATAACTACGAAAATTGTGACTAAAAATATGTAAAAATTAATAGAAAATAGAACACATTGCTGTTAAAATATTAAAATAACTGTACTTTCCCAAAAAAATCTATTGCATGATTACTGTTCGACTAGTATTGCTAATTTAGGACGTTAGTGTCAAACGCAATGAAAGAATTAATTGTTAGTTAAACAAAAAAATAGCTGCGTGTCAAAATCGAGTGAAACATATGAGATGTGTGTAAACAAAAGCATCTAAATAATAACTATTTCCCGCAGAATTTCTGGAGGTTTATAGAGTCGACATTGGTCTGAGCGCGCTCCGGTCTGTGGATCATACAAGTTCTCGGGCGACGATGTATCTTCGAATAACTTTGTTATTTGAAAAGCGAAGGGATCCTAATTGTCATGCTTCCCGCTGTGCCATTTTGACCGGTACCGGACTAATCCGATTACTACTCGCACTGAGCTACAAATATTTATTAAAAGCTATGTACTTGTCTGAAAAATATCTTTTCAAAAATTATTTTTTATAAATAGATATATAACGTCGAAGATAAATATGTCACACATTTTATTATAGATAAAATTTAATTATTTTTACGCTTAATAGAAAAAAAATAACGGCACGTCATATGAACCCGATTAGAATACATACATAACATTTTTATAGTGTTATTGTTTGTAGTTTTATAATCTTAGGGATGGTTCCATGTAAAAGGTCGCAACAATGTCTAGGTATTGTTACTTGCTCTTTGTTTTGTAATGGAATGAATAATTTCTTCCTGCAGAGCATATTGAACTCAAATTATCTCAAAAACACACTCATTGCTCGAAAGTAACGCATATAAACTTACATCAAATTGCTGTATATGTACTTATTAAATACAAACACTTTTTTAATGTGCTGAACCGATAAATCTACTTCACATATTTTGTCAAATATTTCGAAAAGGCGCCAAAAGGCACATTTCAAATTTTAAGAGATTTGTCACCAAACTTTACATTGTAAACAGTTATATGTACAATAAGCAATAACTAATTGTACGTAATCCCTCAGACATTTGGGTGTTCAGACCAGGTGATATTATTTAGAAAAACAAATGTTAGTTTTTCACAATTTTGGCCACGTATTTTCAGTTTCGTCCCACTGTGCATGTACCTGTGGGGATTAACGCCCCAAACTGGAAAAATATAACTGCCTTCAAGGAACGCATTTAATATTTTCATAAGATTAAGTTTAATTTCACTTGCAATTGAATTTCGGAGGATAATTTTATTCCTTTTTCAAATTTTTGGTTTACCTCTGCCGATATCCCGTTGCGTTCTCGAACAAAAACCATCCATATGGAATGAAAGTAATTTAGCACGGAGAAGAATGACAACAGCGATAAAAAAAATTGGTCTAAAGAGTTTAGACAGTACTTCCCTCGCTGTCGGAAACTTGACGACTGCATGCCCATTGTGTTTTTTTTCTCATTACATTTTTGTAGTGGGAATTTAAAAAAAAATTGCGATGACGTCATCAACATTTTTGCAAGGACACGTATATCAGTTGGGATAGATGTAGTGTAATACTAAGAATAAAATTATTATATTCTCAAATTTTCGGGAAAATGAATTGGGTCGTTTGAATATTGATTTGTAATAATCAATAAAATAACGAAACAATTTACTCACGTATACCTACGTATCAGAGGCAACTGAAAATCGTGTATGTATAAACATTGTTAATTTAAGATGACAGGCGTAACAGCATACGTGAGAGCCAAACACAGAAACTGTAAACAAAACGACCGTCGGTTTTATTGCTTCGACTTCCGCTTATTATATAAAACATTGGGTTTTATTTTAATTCTTGACGGTGAAATTCACAATTGGTTGATTATAAACATGTCTATTTCACATTCGCGGAATCAAGTGAACGCATAAAACAAATGCAGGTCTGTAATGTTAAAGTCGATGTAAATAAGCGTGCTACCCTTATGTTTCAACCGAGTTTTTCCTTTAACAAATTTTGTGTCTACCAAATTGGGTTGGTTGGGGTGTAATACTAATAATAAGTGTTGCCTTTAATTTAATCAATAAAATAAATTGACTTCATTAATTTTTTTGAACCACCTCTTAAGAAAATCTAAAAAATATGAATGGAATGATAAATCACAAGTACAAACTCATCATATTTTTTGCATTTTAGATAGGATTTATTCAGCAAAATTTAAGGGTGACGTCATCAATTTTTTTAGGAGGGATGAACAAATACATTTTGAACAAAAGTTTACCATGCTTATAATAACTTTAAAATATTCCCAAGATTTCAAAGCATTCGGTTTTGTAATTCCTGATTAAATCGATAAAATAAATTCACGCCTTCATTAATTTTTTTGAGTCACCCTGCATATGCAAATCCAAAAATATGAATGGAATGATAAATCACAAGTACAGACTCATCATATTTTGTACATTTTAGATACGATTTATTCGGAAAACTTTTGAGCTGACGTCATCAGTTTTTTGTAGAAGATAACCAAATATATTTTGACTAAAAATTTATTATGCTCTTTATAACCTTAAAACATCTGCAAGATTTCAAAGCATTCGGTTTTGTAGTTCCTGATTAAATCAATAAAATAAATTTACGCATTCATTAATTTTTTTGAGTCACTCTGAATATGCAAATCCAAAAAATATGAATGGAGTGATAAATGACAAGTACAGGCTCATCATATTTTGTACATTTTAGATATGATTTATTCGGCAAACTTTCGAGCTGACGTCATCAAGTTTTTGGAGGAGATAAGCAAATATATTTTGACTAAACATTTATTATGCTCTTTATGACCTTAAAACATCTGCAAGATTTCAGAGCATTCGGTTTTGTAGTTCCTGATTAAATCAATAAAATATATTTACGCATTCATTAATTTTTTTGAGTCACCCTGTATATGCAAATCCAAAAAATATTAATGGAGTGATAGTTCACAAGTACAGACTCATCATATTTTGTACATTTTAGATATGATTTATTCCACAAACTTTTGAGCTGACGTCATCAAGTTTTTGGAGGGGATAAGCAAATATTTTTTGACTAAAGATTTATGATGCTCTTTATAGCCTTAAAACATCTGCAACATTTCAAAGCATTCTGGTTAGCAGATTAAAAATTAAATTTCAAAATGTTGTTTTATAATTTTGATTTTTTTTCCAAAAATCTGGACGTTTCGGGTGAAAAGTCGATTCAGAGTTGTAAACTACATGTGTAGGACTATGTTATTTTATACAATTGAAAACCCATTTACTATGTACAATTTTGAAGTGACGTCATCGCTTTAGTGGTGGGGATGATTAGACAAATTTTGGTTAGCGTTTTACCATCTACATGATATTCTTAATATAAGTACAAAATTTCACAACAATCGGTCGAGTACTTTCGGAGATTATCTGTCTAATAAAAATCCGTGACAACAGACGGACAGACGGACAGACGGACAGACGGACGGACAGACGGACAGACGGACAGACAGACGGAAATGGGAGACCTATTTCTTCGTCTTCTAGGGGTCATGAAAGATCGAGAAAACGTAAAAGTAGAGAGTCGGCCGACGGACTCGATTACAATACTTCCTTTGCTTACGCTCGGGAAGTAATAAAAGCTGGAATTTTCAAAATTTGCAACCACTTTTCAAACAACCCTTGAAGAGCAATTGTCGAGCTTGTAATTGTGAGTTATATTGTGATTATTATTATTACAATGACCACCATAAACAGTGATCTTCATTTACCTTGGCTTGGCTCGCCTAAAAATTTAAAAGCGCAATGTAAGGTTTGGGTACCTGCAACAAAAATTTTATCTTGCAGCTTAGCATCGTCCTGAAGTCTGTAGAAACATATTTTGGTAAGTACCGAAATAATTTATTTTCAATTAGATCTATTGAATCAATGTGTTCCATATTTTAGAGACACGTTTATAAAAAATGTAATACAACAAATGTGAAACGTAAAAGGTGATTTTTATTTCGCGCATAATTAAACACCATTTATTAACTTTATGTATTTATTCGCTAAATAAAATCGTCACCGCCAAAAAATCTCACGTGTGTTGTTCGAACTAACATGAAATTTCACACTAGTGATACTGATAACACTGATAACAGTGTTTAGAAATAACAGCTACCTTTTCAGTCGTGAATCCGCTTAATTAAAAGGTTGACTAATGAAGTTATCAAGTGGACAAGTTTGTGACTTCTTGTGAAAAATATTAAAAAAATTAAAAGTAAGTAAAATAAAAAAAACCGTTAGGATGTCTTAGATTAAATCTACCGATTAAAACTGTCGAACATTTCATTTTTTTTTTTTTTTGGAAAATTGCACGAGATATCTTTTTTATTTTAAAACTCATTCACTCACTATTGGGTCGCTCACTCTCTCACTTTAAAACATAGCATTAGTAAAAATGAAAGAATCAGACAACAGGGAAACATTCTGCCTTCATTTCTTCCTATTTATTTTATAACTATTAAAAGAGTATGTTAAAAAAATCATCGAAAATATTTTGTTAATTGTGATGGGTGGATTTCAATTTTGCATTAGGTATTCATTGCTTGAAAGTGAATTTTGTTTTTCAAAATATACTGATTTCCATAAAAATCCGAATACCTTGAATTAGTTAACTGATAAAACTGACAGTTACACCAAATGTGCATTAAATCGAACCAAATAAATGATTAAAATAACTGGCCTAAAACTTGTGAAATAAAAAATTTATCAATAATGTGTGGGTCCACTGTGATTTCTAATGCACTCATTTACTCGGCGATGCATGCATGAAAGAAGATGGTTTATGGTGTCCTGTGGGATCTCGCCCCAAGCTTCCTGAAGCCGCATACGAAGGTCATTTAAATTATTCGGGGGATGCTGCAAGTAACCTAGACGTGTGCCCATGATATCCCACACATGTTCGATTGGTGACAAATCTGGTGAACAAGCAGGCCAGGGGAGAACTTCAACATTATGTTGTTGAAGGTACTGCGTTGTGTCTCTTGCCGTATGTGGGCGTGCACTGTCTTGCTGAAATAGGGGTCGATCTAACCCTCTGAGATAAAGCACTGCAAGGGGCTCCAGTACTGGATCGATGTATCCCCTTGCATTCAAATTTCCCTGAATGAAAACTATAGGGGACCTGCCACCCTGCGGCCTTTTTCAAACTCACTCACTTGATGAAAATGAACCGGCTAACGACGTCTTGGCATTTCACTTTGTTTTCTACGCGATAGCCCTAAAATTTTCTACACAACTAACGCAGATCAACTAGCAAAGCCAAATTCCGCTAGACGAAACTTTGTTTTTAAAAAGTAATTACGTTAGTAGTTTTTGTTGAAATTTTAATCAGTTCTTCCATGACTGTCCCCATATCGAATCCGATAATATGAACAAAATGGGTCAACTCCTTCGAAGTGTTCGGATTTTTATGGAAATCAGTATATTTCACTGTGTCATGTCAATAAAATTGCTTTTTTTTATATTCCTCCTCTAAATCATTATTCATCAAAGATACCTTATGCCTGATATTGTGATCGAAAATATTACTGTATGTTTTATAATTGATTTTCAGGTCTGCGTGTTTACGTAGTGTAAAATTATCACTTATCATTATGGAAAATTTATACCATAAACAATCCAGCCATGAATTGTCGCCTAATTTTCAACCGAAAGAGAGTGCATCTTCCCCAGAAAAGGTATTACAATTTCTAATTTATAAAATTAAATATTTAAGTCTAAGTAAGTATACAAAAAAATATTCTTTTTCTATAAATGCTAGTAAAAAACGAAATTATACGAAAATTGTAGAGATGTGGCGATAAGATGAGAACGTCATAAAGTTTATAATTATTATTAATAAATAACATTTTAACATAAATGATTGAAGTTCAATTACAAATAATGCAAAATCTTAGGTATATTATACTTTTGTTTAAAAAAAATAACTTGATGCTGAATTTTAGAAACTAGTCAAGATGACTACTGTTTTCAGCAAATATTTAATTTTCGAATATTTGAAAAGTGGCCCCATAAATTTAAATAGCATTTTATTTACTGATATTAAGTCACTTTACATTATTTTATAACGTTCTAGATCTTTCGGAAAAGACTTGGTACTACAGATAAGGGGAAGAAGTACGAAAATATGGTAGCTGCCAACAGCATACTTCGTATGGTAACCACCGACAAAGTAAAAAACTTCTACATTTCGTCGGATGATTCAAATTTTGGAGTATTCGATGATGTAGTTATTGAAATGGAGACAGATGAAGGAATCAAAACAATTGCAGTGCAGTTAAAACACAGCAACAGTAAAGGAAGTTTAGGCATACCGCGACTAGCAAGTGAAACGGGAGATTTTAGCCTACTCAAATATTATAAATCGTTCCAAGAGTTGAACAAGAAACCACATCAATCCATTTTGTTCACGAACCTTAAATTTAAGGTTTCTAAAGACACAAAATTTCAGCTCGACGGAAAAGAATTTTTCTTGGAACCGTACAGAGTAGAAATTGCTGATGATTGTTTGAAAATTTCTCAACATATAAGTCACTGTTATAAGTTCCGAATTCGAGAAGACCAAGATGCTGGAGTGGTTCATTCAGAACTTCAACAGTTCAAGACATTTTTTGAAAGCTTTTATCTTTATACTAACCAAGAAAGTCTGGAAACACTTGAAAACTCGACAGCGAACAACTTCGTGAAGACGTTCTGTTCTAATCAAGAAACTTTCGAAAAGTACGTTAGAATTATATCTGAGTGGGATATGATAGAAGGATCAAAAATAAAGTTATACAAGAAGTTGATGCAACGTGCAATTGCGCTTTGTCTGTTATCTCCTTACGTCGAATGTTTTACTTCTGGTCCAGTCAGCGACAAAGGGAAAATTCTTCGAGAAGCGATTTGTTCATTTGATATTACGCTGTTGGAAAACACCGAGTGCGATGTGGTGAAAGAGTTGTGGGACGACTTGGACAAGAATATTGACATCAAGGAACTAAATAGACTGAGATCTTTTTATCGCCTTTCTCCTAATTACATATCCAAGATAGAAGATGTAGATGGAAATGTGTTGGCGCAATTGTTGTGGTTGATGGAGAAACGTCCCTTAATTGTAAAAGAAAACGAAAATATCGGAAAAGCTATTCAACTTTGTCCAGATGGTAAATTCATCTTGATTGGGGAAGGAAAACGGAGAGAATGGATGAAAGGTCGCTCCGTGTTTCAGAACTTGCTGGATTTGAAATCAGAAGACAATTTGTATGAAACAGTGATGCAGAATTTTACCATTTCCTTGCAAGGGAAAGGTGTGCTTAATCTGATGGATATATGTGGAGGAAATGAAAAATGTTTAAAGAATATTGTTGTAAATGGTCTTTTAGGGATGATAGACAGTCCATGCTTAATAGATGGGGAAAAAGAAGTTCTTCCCAATCCTTACATCGAAAGGTATTTGTCGTTAAATGTTATAGATATTAAATATTTACAACATGTTAATCGTAATACCGTAGTTATTTTAGATGGCGCAGATAGTTCTAATGAAATAGAAAAACTTCCAAATATTATAATGAGAAACATCGACGATTATTTAAATGAACCAGAATATAGAACTTCTGATGATCCAATTTTCATTATAAGTAAAAACCAATGTAGCGAGTCTGAATTTGAGAAAATATGCTCCAAAACTCCAAAATCAAAAACTGTTCATTATTTCAAATTTCTTAAAAACAACATTTTAGAATGGGTCCGGAGCAAAGGCGATGTCGGAGATTTGCAAAATTATAAATTAACTAATCATTCTAAAATCGAAAACGAATTCTGGTCCTGCGAGTTTAAGAAGAGCATTAATTTAGTAGTAGGTGATCCGGGGATGGGTAAAACTGAACTAACAAAAAGCTTAAAAAATAAGTGTTCTTCTAAATTCTGGACAGTACTTGTTAGCCCTCAAGAAGTTAATTTATTCTTTAAACAATCAGAAGAGTGTAAAGTATCAGATCATGTAAATTTATTTGAAAAATTCGTCTTAGACACGAAATATCAATCTCTCAGAAGGTTAGACAAAGTATTTTTTAAATTGTGTTCGGATCAAGCGCGTGTTTTCTACGTGTGGGATGCCCTTGATGAAATTTCTACTAAATATTTGGAAGACGTATCAGATTTGATTGTTTTGCTATCAGAGAAAGGATTCATCCAATGGGTTACCAGTAGAAAACACTTGAAATCTTTCCTTGAAAAAAAATTTAATACATTTTCGTTGAACATAAGTCAGTTTAACCAGCACGAACAAGAAGATTATATTAGAAAACGTCTTGATTCTATCGTTTCAACTGACAAGATAGAAGGTGCTGTTCAAAAAATTAAGTCTAGCTTTGCTTTCATAAAACATGTGGATATTTTAGGAATTCCACTTCAAATTTTTATGCTCACAGAAATAGTTCTTCAAAATGACAATTATTTAAAATTATTAGGCGATTCTTGGCGCTTAACTGATTTATATCATTATTTTATTGAAGTCAAGTTCAAAATTTTCTTTCAAAATAAATTGTCTCTTAATTTTCAGGATTCTAAGTTTAAGCGTATGTTTAACAATCATAAAGAAAAAATCTTAACACATTATGAAAAACTTGCCGTTAACGTAATATTTTTGGACTGTGAAGATATTAAATGTCAAGAAGATATAGACCGCACTTCTTACGAATACGAATCCATCGGTATTATAACTGGTTTACAAAGTAACACACCGCTTTTTCTGCATGCATCTTTTGCGGAATATTTGACTGCGGTGTATTTTTCGAAGAATTTTCAAGTTATACCTGGGGATAAATTTTTTGATCGGAAATATGACAACGTACGATTTTTCTTTGATATGTTGTTGGCAAAAAACTCACCAGTTCACATATCAGTCTTGTACAGAAACTTTGGCACACTAAAGGGCTATGACGAGGACATATTAACAAGTAAAGATGACGGTGAAAGAAGTGTTTTACATTTGATTTGTTCGTGGGGACAAAGGCATCCGCGGCTACGAGTTACGAGTTCTAAAATAGATAGAAATTTGTTTTCACATTTTACTTCTGTCTTGGTAAACAAAATTTTCTTTTTAAGTAATATACGTACCGTGAGATACACTGTCGATGATCCCGAATTTCCTGCAACATCACTAGAAACAAGAGAATATTTAGATGCGGTGCTACGCTTGTGTAGTAAATGTAACATTTCAGAACCCGATGGGCTATTTAAACTGACGCCTTTTTCATATGCTCAAGTCAGTGAAAGTTTAGGTGTGGAACTCGAATTGTTACAGTCAGAAATGTTACAAACAGAGCAGCTGTATAGTGATTGTGATAGAATTAATATTTTATATTATTCTAGTATGTTTGGTTATGAGAAGGCTATTAAAACCGTTGTTACTAAAAAATTAAGTACTTATTACGACGAAGTAAATTTTAGTTGTGAATGGTTGGATGACACTGCTCTTACGATAGCGTCCGCAATGGGGCACACAGCAGTCGTTGAATATTTGTTACAGTTAGGGAGCGAAATTAATCGGGCTAATAAAAATGGTCTGACACCGCTTCATGAAGCTTCTTCGAACGGTCACGAAAAAATTGTCGAATGCCTAGTGAAATGCGGAGCCGAAATTAATCACGCTACTAGTAGTGGTTGGGCCTTTGAGTTGGCCAATGTGCATTTGAAATTGGAAGCCATACTTTCCGCCCTACGTAGTAGCCCGCAAAATCTCGAATTCCACATGAGAGACAAACTTAATCGGTATTATAACAGTTTGGGCTGGACACCGCTTTACACAGCTTCAATGAACGGTCACGAAAAAATTGTCAAATGTCTAGTGAAACACGGGGCCGAAATCAATCGCACTGATAGTGATGGGAAGACACCGCTTCACGCAGCTTCCATGGAAGGTCACGAAAAAATTGTGGAATTCCTAGTGAAATGCGGAGCCGAAATCAATCGCGTTGATAAACATGGTCGGACACCGCTTTACGCAGCTTGCTTGGAAGGCCACGAAAAAATTGTAGAATACCTAGTGAAAGGTGGAGCCGCAATCAATCTCTGTAATAATGATGGTGAGACACCGCTTTACATAGCTTCGTTGAGCGGCCACGAAAAAGTTGTCGAATGCCTAGTGATAGGCGGAGCCGAAATCAATTGCACTAATCGCCTTGGTCAGACACCGCTTTATATAGCCTCCACACTGCGCCACGAAAAAATAGTAACTTATTTAAAAGCAAATGGTGGAAAATTAACATTATCATTACCCAAAAAATCGTGACCATGTAGGCCATTTTTTCAATTAAAACTAAAATGTAGTAAGATTTTAACGTAACTATTATTGACCCGTCAATTTTGAAATGTTTTCACTCTTTGGTTGGTAATTGTTTCAAACATCCAAATTAGTTTGTAGGTATGCAAGTGACCCAAACTAGAACACTGGGTTCCTAAATAGCATCAATATATTCTTAAATTGGACCTACTTGATAAAAACCCGTGAAATGAACATAATTTTATTTAAAACTAGCTTTTACCTGTGGCTTCGCTCACGAAAATTTAGTTTTGTTACTTTAGTTGCCTTCTCATAATTGTAGCAGTTACAGCCTACTTCTTTTAAACTTGGATGTCTATCTCTGGAAATATCTACTTAACTGAAATAGACAATATCTTAAAAATTGTGTAATACAAAATAGCGTCACGGGCTATCCCGTCGGGAAATCGGTGTGATGCTAAATCTATACCTAAGCACTATATACGGCAACACTGGTTTACTTGCCATATGAAATTTAATGCCGCCAAACACGTACATATACAGGCTGAATCACTAAAAAAGTCAAAGACCAAAATTTCACGGTTCTGTTTTTACGGCGTAACATACACTTATTTTTTTAATGAAGCACTTTGTACAACTTTGCATATTTGAATCGGCCTCTTCTTAGGCTAAATCTACTACAACACCTTACTTTTGAAATTCCGATGCGACGTCGCCACGTTATTCCATTTTCGATGGTCTCTTGCGCGTTCTAATGCATTTAAATTTTTTGTGTGGGCACCTATTCATAATAATATTTTTTGATCTTTCATAGGTTTGCTTGTTTTAATAAAATGTTTGGTAAATAAATTAAAATTTATGTGTCCGTTTTCCGATAATTCAGCAAGACTTCCCGGTGGTACCCCATTTTTTAGAGATTTTTAAGAGATTAATAAACAGCGAATTAACCATTAAAACATGGTTTACCAGTTTCAAATCTAAGCCATTATAGACGAATAATACACCAGTAAGACATAAACAAAATTATGTTGACATTTGTAAAATTGGTTTATTTAGATTTTTCCTGCGATTCAGTGTTTATTCAAATTTTACTCGTAGAGCCTAGAGCGAATGATGGTAAATAATAACTTCTTTTAATAATTATTGATCAAAATTACAAACTTTCTGTTTTAACTTTTAAGCAAGCCTGACTAAACACAAACATCAATTACATACATATTACTATTGTATATTAAATATACAGAGTGTCCCAGTTAGAACTTCGCGACCTTATATCTTGATAAGGGAGAAATAATGAAATTCTGTAAACGCTATTGTTTTTTGCTTCAAGTGGAAAGCTTAATTTAGTACATTACAAAGCTATATTTTTTTAAACTGCAACGTGTATTTTTTAAATGGACAAAAGTAAAGATCATCACTACATTCACACAAGAGGTAATTTTGAAATTACTGTTCTCTTATCTGAAAATCCTCTGATTAACCGGTATTTATTTATTTCCATATGTATAATTTTATGTAAATAAAGTATTTTATTTATTATGTAGAGGAATTTTTTGAAAATAATTCTAGTGATAGTTATGTGTGTACACCGAGAGAACAATAACAATACAACCAAAGACTAACCTTCAAAAATCCATGACTGTCTTTGATCGTATTTTCTATTGCTCTCTCGGTAGTTTATATTTTTTGTTATTAATTGAAAGTAAATTTATAATACATATCTTATGTTTCTAATTAGCTTGACAAATATTCTGAGACTGACTATATGTATGTACCTAATAACCAAACACGGAAAAACTTTTCACATATATGTATTTAGAACTCTGCGTAATAATTGTCGATTGTATAAATACATCTCCAAGATTTCAAAGCATTCGGTTTTGTAGTTCCTGATTAAATCAATAAAGTAAATTCACGCATTCATTGATTTTTTTGAGTCACCCTGTACATACATGCATATCCAAAAAATATGAATGGAATGATGAATCACAAGTAGAAACTCATCATATTTTGTACATTTTAGATAGGATGTATTCAGCAAAATTTTGCGGTGGCGTCATCGATTTTTTAGGGGGGATGAGCAAATACATTTTGATCAAAAATTTTCCATACTTAAGTCTTTATACATCCTGTCATCGACAACGGTAAATACTCTAGGTTTTTGGGTTTTCGTATCTAGAATGTTAACAACAAGAACAGAACCACGATCTTCTATTATACATATATATATATATAGCTCTACAAACTTGAAGGTTTGACATTCTTTGCTTTTTCGGACAAATAGGCGAGGATTATATCCTCATTGACGCCTCTGGCCGCTTTCTGACTTCTCCAGTTGCAAAACTTCGTGTATTTTTTTCATACAATTTGCTTGATTTTTCTGGGAGCAAATTGTGTTGCCGTTTCAGCTGTTTCGGCAACATTGTTCGGAACAATATACTTCTGAAACTGCTTCTAAGTCCATCTTAGCACACCCAAAAATCTCAATTGACATTTTTTTTTTTTCAAATAAACAACGTTGCTATCAATTCATTTCAAATAAGACTAATTTTGACGTGTGCAAATGCCAAATGCATAGGTTGCATGCTTGCACTAATAAATAGGAGTACCTACATTATTCTTGCAAAATTGCGAAATTAATATTCAAGATTCAGTACGAGTTGATGATGTTTAAAATAAACCACCAAATAAAATACTCACCATTGGAAAATATCCAGTATGTTGTTCGAGTAAACATCGAATTTCAATGCTGATAAGTGATAACCTGATAACAGTCTTTATCGGATCGGTAGATCAGTTACAGAAATGGGTTAAACAGAACAACTCGAGAAATAACAGCCACTCAATCGTGAATCCACTAATTAAAAGTTTAACTAGTGAAGTTATCAAGTTGACAAGTTTGTAACTTCTTGTGAAAAATATTAAAAAAGTGAAAAGTAAGTAAAATGAAAATAACCGTTACGACGTTTTAGATTATATCTACCGATTAAAACTTTCGAATATTTCCTTATTTGTTCTTTTGGAAACAAGCGCGAGATATCTTTTTCGTTTTAAAACTTATTTACTCACTCACTCACTCATTCATTGCCTCGCTCACTCAATCACTCTAAAACATAGCATCAGCATATTTTGTTAAATGTGATGGGTAGATTCTAATTTTGTATGTATTAGGAATTCATTGGCCGAAAAGAAAAACTTGCTTGCATTTTCTTATATTCCTTGTTGATATTATAGAAAACTACCCTTTTGCTAACTGTATTACCGACATAAGCTTGCGCATGTGCGCACTTGACACAGTAAGTTCAGTTGATGTACCACGTTGTTGCAATACACATTTCAATCGTTTCGTTCAGTTTTATTCACCTATAATTTCCAAACAATCAATTCCACTGGATAAAGCAAAACCTTGCTACAGGTTATGGGCCCAGGGTACTGCTGATTGTTTGGCCGCGTGTAAAAATAAGGTGAATCCGATATATCTCAGTGATAAAAACTTTTGTGTTCCGGCAACAAAATGGCAGCGTCCACGCTACCACCGATCGAAAAACTACTAGGGCGCGAAAACTTCAACTCATGGAAATTCGCAATGCAAACATATTTGGAGCATGAAGAGTTGTGGGAATGTGTTGAGGGTACGAACACTACGGCAAAACAAGTTGCAAAGGCTAAGGCCAAAATAATCCTGTCGATACACCCCATAAACTATGTCCACGTGCAAAATGCGAAGACCGCGAAAGAGGCATGGGAAAATTTAATCAAGGCCTTCGACGATAAAGGACTTACGCGAAGAGTTGGCCTGTTACGTACCTTAATCACAACTCAGTTGGAAAATTGTGATTCCGTAGAAGAATACGTTAACAAGATTATTTCAACAGGACATAAATTGACGAATATTGGTTTTGTTGTAAGTGATGAATGGCTCGGGACGTTATTACTTGCTGGATTGCCAGACCATTATCGCCCAATGATAATGGGACTAGAAAGCTCCGGTATCGCCATTACCAGTGACTCCATCAAGGTGAAACTATTACAAGAGGTCAAGGTCGATACAAGCAGTTCAAACAAAAATGGAGTAGCGTTCTTCGGAAACCACGCCGAAAAGAAGAACTATACTAAAAATGGGCCACGGTGTTTTGAATGTAATAAAATTGGTCATCTCGGGAAGAATTGTTTTAAACGAAAGGCTCGCCTGCAGAGAGAAAATGGCAAATCTTCCAACACGAAGGAAGCGAAATCCTTCTTAACAGTCTTGTCAACGGGAAACGATCATGTTGAAAAAAATGAATGGTATATCGACTCCGGCGCATCGGTCCATCTAACAAACGACAAAACATGGCTGACATCCGCAAGCAAACCTCCTTCATCCACGCAGGAAATTATAGTAGCCAATAAAAATCGTCTAAATGTCGATGCAGTGGGGGAGGTAAATTTGGACGTTTGTACAGGTGGTACACCTGACAAAATAAACGTAAAAGAGGTTATGTTTGTGCCAGATTTGACAACAAACTTGCTGTCTGTAAGCAAAATAACCAATAAGGGGCACAAGGTCTACTTTGAGAGCAGTAAATGCAGTATATACGACAAAAGCAACGCCCTCATCGCCAGTGCCACACTGAAGAATGGCATGTACAAACTGGATCGACCGAAAAATAAGGTGCACGGTGCTAACTCAGTATCGGTTGCTGACAATATACATCTATGGCATAGTAGACTAGGCCATCCGTCAACGGACAGCATGAACCGAATAAAAAACGGGGTCGTTACGGGAACGAATTTCAAAAATTCGCTGAGTGAACCTTGCGAGGTATGTGTGCAGGGCAAACAACACCGTCTACCATTTAAGCCACATGTCAAGAACTCAAGCCGACCCTTGGAACTAATCCATTCAGACCTATGTGGTCCTATGGAGGAAAATTCATTGGGAGGATCAAAATACTTTCTCACTTTTGTGGACGACTTCACCCACAAAGTATTTGTTTACTTCCTAAGAAACAAATCAGAAGTACACGATGTTTTCCAAGAATTCAAGAATATGGTAGAAAATCAGACGGGAAATAGGGTCAAGACTCTGAGGACTGACAATGGAACTGAATATGTCAACAACAGGTTGCTCAAGCTGCTGAAATTGTCTGGTATTTGTCACCAAACAACGATTCCACATACGCCCGAACAAAATGGAGTTGCAGAGCGGATGAACCGCACCATCATAGAAAAAACGCGTTGCTTATTAATTGGTGCCAATTTGAAGAAAAGGTTTTGGGCAGAAGCCGTAAATACAGCTGTCCACTTGATCAACAGAGCACCGACAAGAACATTGAAAGATGTCACACCAAATGAAGCTTACACAGGTAAGAAACCTGATCTATCCTATTTAAAAGTGTTTGGTTGTAGGGCATTTGTTCACGTGCCTAAACAACAACGCAGAAAATTGGACCCGAAGTCAGAAGAATGCATTCATGTGGGCTATGCAAATGGTTCGAAAGGCTACCGGCTCTATCACATAAGAAAACAGAAAATTGTGGAGGCTAGAGATGTTGTATTTTTTGAAAAAGAACTTCCAAAGGCATCGCAATGTGAAAACAATGATTGGTTGTTTTACCCAATCACCGATGAAACGAACCTCCATGATCATACCGAAGAAAGTGAAGAGTGTGAGATCGAAGAAACTCAAGCAGACGAAATTGATGAACAAGAAATTGAAGAAATTCAGGTTGAATGTAATGTCCATGAAATTGAAACCAATGATGATGTTGAGCAAGTCGAAAACACTGAAAGAGAAGAACCCGCTATAAGAAAATCAAGTAGGGAAAGAAAAGCAAAGGAATTTTCTGAATATATTTGCTACCATGTTCAGTCGTTGACGAGGGAGCCCAAAAATGTTGAAGAAGCTGTTTCGAGTCCTGAGTGTACAAGATGGCTTGAAGCAATGCAAGCTGAATACGATGCACTCATTGAAAACAAAACGTGGACTCTTACAGATTTGCCAACCAATGCCAAAGTGATTGACAGCAAATGGGTATTTAAAACAAAATTAGATCAAGACGGGAACATAGATCGATTTAAAGCCAGACTTGTAGTGAAAGGTTGTTGTCAACATAAGGGGATAGATTATCAAGAAACCTATTCACCTGTGGTACGATACAATTCGATTAGATTGATCTTAGGGCTTGCAGTCAAGTATGACCTTGACATTGATCATATGGACGCAGTGACTGCGTTCTTGCAAGGAGATCTTAACGATGACATTTTTATTCAGCAGCCTGAATTATTTGAAGTTAGAGGCCAAGAAAATAAAGTTTGCAAATTAAACAAGGCAATGTATGGTTTGAAGCAAGCTGGAAGACAATGGAATTTGAAGTTACATCAAGCGTTTATAGAAATTGGGCTAAATCAATCAAAACGAGATGAGTGCATATATTATCTTTGCAAGGATAATAAGATTGTAATTGTCGCAGTCTATGTAGATGATTTACTCATTTTGGGCAACGATTCAAAAATGAAAAATGAATTGAAGAAAGAATTGGAAAGCAGATTCAAAATGAAAGATTTGGGAGAATTACAGTATATCCTGGGAATTCGGGTAACAAGAGACAGAAAAGAGGGCAAATTATGGTTGGACCAATCAAAATATTTAGAAGAGGTTTTATCAAAATTCAACATGGCAAACTGCAATCCGACTAAAACTCCGTTAAGTCCATCCGAGAAGCTAACAAAAGAAATGTGCCCAAAATCAACGAACGAGGTTCAAAACATGGAGAATGTACCATATCAAGAGGCAGTTGGGTCATTGATGTATGCATGTCAGGGTACGCGTCCGGACCTGGCATATTCTCTAGCGTTATTGAGCCGATTTAACAATAATCCAGGCTCTGCTCACTGGTCAGCTGTGAAACGAGTCCTTCGATACATCCAGGGCACAAAGGACTTCAGACTCTGTTTTACAAGGACAGAGAATGGAAAACTTGCAGGTTTTTGTGACGCAGACTGGGCAGGTGATGAAGATGAGAGACGGTCAACCACAGGATATGTCTTTACATTCCAAGGGGCCCCTGTATCATGGAATAGCAAGAAACAACCCACCATTGCTTTATCCACAACTGAAGCAGAATACATGGCTCTAAGTGCAGCGGCGCAAGAAGCTATTTGGTTACAGGGCCTTCTAAATGAATTAATGCCTGAAGTCGATGACGAAGGACCTATTCTGAAATGTGACAATAAAAGCGCAGTGGATCTGAGTCGAGTGGGAGGATACAGAGCAAGGACAAAGCACATAGATGTGAGACATCATTTCCTTCGTGAGCAAATTCAAGAAAAGGCCATACAAGTTCAACACATTGCTTCGAAGGAAATGACAGCTGATGTGATGACCAAAGCATTACCTCTGGAACTGCATGAAAAGCACCTGAAGGAAATGGGACTCAAGAAGCGTTAATTTTACTTTATTTAAATTTAAAAATTTTTGTTGTTGATAGTTGTAGTTTTCTAGTGGGAGTGTTGATATTATAGAAAACTACCCTTTTGCTAACTGTATTACCGACATAAGCTTGCGCATGTGCGCACTTGACACAGTAAGTTCAGTTGATGTACCACGTTGTTGCAATACACATTTCAATCGTTTCGTTCAGTTTTATTCACCTATAATTTCCAAACAATCAATTCCACTGGATAAAGCAAAACCTTGCTACATTCCTCCTCTATAATCATTAGTTCATTACTCATTAAACATAGGTATGTCTGATATTGTGATCGAAACTATTACTGTATGTTCTATAATTGATTTTCAGATTTGCGTATTTACGTAGTGAAAAATTATCACTTATCATTATGGAAAATTTGTACCACAAACAATCCAGCCATGAATTGCCGCCCACGTTTCAGTCTGAAGAGAGTGCATCTTCCCCAGAAAAGGTACTACAATTACAAAAAACGAAATTATACGAAAATCGTAGCGATGATGAATTTAAAACATTTACAAAAGCTTTGTGTACTAGACAAACTTGTATCAAATTTTATTTACCTAAAACCACAGTTACATTTTATTTACTGATATTAAGTCAAATTTTTTTTATAACGTTCTAGAACTTTCGGAAAAGACCTGGTACTACTGATAAGGGGAAGAAGTACGAAAATATGATAACTGCCAACATCATACTACATTTGGTAAGCACCGATAAAGTAAAAAACTTCTACGTTTCGTCGGACGATGCCAATTTTGGGGCATTCGATGATGTAGTTATTGAAATGGAAACAGATGAAGGAATCAAAACAAACGCGGTGCAATTAAAGCATAGTAACAATTCAGGAAGTTTAGGGATACACCGACTAGCAAGCGAAAAGGGAGATTTTAGTCTACTGAAATATTATAAATCGTTCCAAAAGTTGAACAAGAAACCACATCAATTCGTTTTGTTCACGAACCTTAAATTTAAAGTTTCTAAAGACACAAAATTTCGACTTGACGGAAAAGAATTTTTCTTAGAACCTTACAAAGTAGAAATTACTGATGATTGTTTGAAAATTTCTCAACATATAAGTCACTGCTATAAGTTCCGAATTCTAGAAGACCAAGATGCTGGAGTGGTTGATTCAGAACTTCAACAGTTCAAGACATTTTTTGAAAGCTTTAGTCTTTATACTAACCAAGAAAGTCTGGAAACACTTGAAAAATCGACAATGAATAACTTCGTGAAGACGTTTTGTTCTGATCAAGAAACCTTCGAAAAGTACGTTAGAATTATATCTGAGTGGGATATGCAAGAAGGATCAAAAATAAAGTTGGACAAGAAGTTGATGCAACGTGCAATTGCGCTTTGTCTGTTGTCTCCGTACGTCGAACATTTTACTTCTGGTCCAGTCAGCGACAAAAGGAAAATTCTTCGAGAAGCGATTTGTTCATTTGATATTACGCTGTTGGAAAACACCGAGTGCGATGTGGTGAAAGAGTTGTGGGACGACTTGGACAAGAATATTGACATCAAGGAACTAAATAGACTGAGATCTTTTTATCGTCTTTCTCCTAATGACATATCCAAGATAGAAGATGTAGATGGAAATGTGTTGGCGCAATTGTTGTGGTTGATGGAAAAACGTCCGCTAATTGTAAAAGAACACGAAAATATCGGAAAAGCCATTCAACTTTGTCCAGATGGTAAATTCATCTTGATTGGTGAAGGAAAACGGGGAGAATGGATGAAAGGTCGCTCCGTGTTTCAGAACTTGCTGGACTTGAAATCAGAAGATAATTTGTATGAAACAGTGATGCAGAATTTTACTATATCCTTGCAAGGGAAAGGTTTGCTTAATCTGATGGATATATGCGGAAGAAATGAAGAATTTTTAAAGAATATTATTGTAAATGATCTTTTAGGAATGATAGACAGTCTACGATTAATAGATGGGAAAAAAGAAGTTCTTCCCAATCCTTACATCGAAAGGTATTTGTCACCAAATGTAATAAATATTAAGTATTTAGAACATGTTAATCGTAATACCGTCGTTATTCTAAATTGCGCAGATAGTTCTAATGAAACAGAAAAACTTCCAAATATTAAACTGAGTAACATCGACGATTATTTAAATGAATCAGAAAGTAAAACTTCTGATGATCCAGTTTTCATTATAAGTAAAAATAACTGTAGCGAATCTGAATTTGAGAAAATATGCTCTAAAACTCCAAAATTAAAAACGGTTCATTATTTGAAATTTCTTAGTGATTGCAGTTTAGAATGGGTCCGGAGCAGAGGCAATGTCGGAGATTTGCAAAATTATAAATTACTTAATCATTTTAAAAACGAAAACGAATTCTGGTCGTCCGAATTTAGGAAGAACATTAATTTAGTAGTAGGTGATCCGGGGATGGGTAAAACTGAACTAACAAAAAACTTAAAAAATAAGTGTTCTTCTAAATTCTGGACAGTACTTATTAGCCCTCAAGAAGTTAATTTATTCTTTAAACAATCAGAAGAGTGTAAAGTATCAGATCATGTAAATTTATTTGAAAAATTCGTCTTAGACACCAAATATCAATCTCTTAGAAGGTTAGATAAAAAAATTTTTAAAATGTGTTCGGATCAAGCGCGTGTTTTCTACGTGTGGGATGCCCTTGATGAAATTTCTACTAAATATTTGGAGGGCGTATCAGATTTGATTGTTTTGCTATCAGAGAAAGGATTCATCCAATGGGTTACCAGTAGAAAACACTTGAAATCTTTCCTTGAAAAAAAATTTAATACATTTTCGTTGAACATAAGACAGTTTAAGCAGCATGAACAAGAAGATTATATTAGAAAACGTCTTGATTCTATTGTTTCAACTGACAAGATAGAAGGTGCTGTTCAAAAAATTAAGTCTAGCTTTGCTTTCATAAAACATGTGGATATTTTAGGAATTCCACTTCAAATTTTTATGCTCACAGAAATAGTTCTTCAAAACGACAAATATTTAAAATTATTTGGTGATTCTTGGCGTCTAACTGATTTATATCATTATTTTATTGAAGTCAAGTTTAATATTTTCTTTCAAGATAAATTGTCTCTTAATGCTCAGGATCCTAAGTTTACGCCTATGCTCAACAGTCACAAAGAAAAAATCTTAACACATTATGAAAAACTCTCAGTTGACCTAATATTTTCCGACTGCGAAGATATTAAATGTCAAGATGATATAGACAGCATTTCTCACGAATACGAAACCATCGGGATTATAACTGGTTTCCAAAATAACACACCGCTTTTTCTGCATGCATCTTTTGCGGAATATTTGACGGCCACGTATTTTTCAAAGAATTTTCAAGTTATACCCCGAGATAAATTTTTTGATCGGAAATATGACAACGTACGATTTTTCTTTGATATGTTGTTGGCAAAAAACTCACCAGTTCACACTGCAGTCTTGTACAGAAATTTTGACGCTCTAAAGGGTTATGACGACAAAATATTAACAAGTAAAGATGACGGTGGAAGAAGTGTACTACACTTGATTTGTTCGTGGGGACAAAGGCATCCGCGGCTACGAGTTACGAGTTCTAAAATAGATAGAAATTTGTTTTCACATTTTACTTCTGTCTTGGTAAACAAAATTTCCTTTTTAAGTAAAATACCTACCGTGAGATATACCGTCGATGATCCCGAATTTCCTGCAACATCACTAGAAACAGAGGAATATTTAGATGCGGTGCTACACTTGATTAGTAAATGCAGCATTGCAGAACCCGATGGGCTATTTAAACTGACCCCTTTTTCATATGCTCAAGTCAGTGAAAGTTTAGGTGCGGAACTCGAATTGTTACAGTCAGAAATGTTACAAACAGAGCAGCTGTATAGTGATTGTGATAGAATTAATATTTTATATTATTCTAGTATGTTTGGTTATGAGAAGGCTATTAAAACCGTTGTTACTAAAAAATTAACTACTTATTACGACGAAGTAAATTTTAGTTGTAAACGGTTGGATGACACTGCTCTTACGATAGCGTCCGGAAAGGGGCACACAGCAGTCGTTGAATATTTGTTGCAGTTAGGGACCGAAATTAATCGGGCTAATAAAAATGGTGTGACACCGCTTCATGAAGCTTCTTCGAACGGCCACGTAAAAATTGTCGAATGCCTAGTAAAATGCGGAGCCGAAGTTAATCACGCTACTAATAGTGGTTGGGTTTTTGGGTCGGTCAATTTTCGTTTCACATCGAATTCCATACCTTCCTCAATACGTAGTAGCCCGCAAAATCTCGAATTACACGAGACATACAGAAGCAAACTCAATCGGGCTTATAACAGTTTTAGCTGGACACCGCTTTACACAGCTTCCGTGAACGGTCACGAAAAAATTGTGGAATTCCTAGTGAAATACGGAGCCGAAATCAATCGCGGTGATAAATTTGGTCAAGGGACACCGCTTTACGCAGCTTCCATGGAAGGTCACGAAAAAATTGTGGAATTCCTAGTGAAATGTGGAGCCAACGTCAATGGCCTTAATGATTATGGTGAGACACCGCTTTACGCAGCTTGCTTGGAAGGCCACGAAAAAATTGTAGAACGCCTAGTGAAAGGTGGAGCCGCAATCAATCACTGTAATAGTGATGGTGAGACACCGCTTTACATAGCTTCGTTGAGCGGCCACGAAAAAGTTGTCGAATGCCTAGTGATAGGTGGAGCCGAAATCAATCGCACTAATCGCCTTGGTCAGACACCGCTTTATATTGCCTCTCGACTGCGCCACGAAAAAATAGTAACTTATTTAAAAGCAAATGGTGGAAAATTAACATGATCATTATCCAGAAAATCGTGACCATGTAGGCCATTTTTTCAATTAAAACTAAAATGTAGTAAGATTGTAACGTATCTATTATTGACCCGTTAACTTTAAAATGTTTTCAATATTTGGTAATTGTTTCAATTTTTTTTAAACATCCAAGTTAAGTAGTTAAGTTTTTTGTAGGTCTGCAAGTGGTCCAAAATAGGACAATGGGTTCCTAAATTGAGTCACTATATTGTTACTTGGTGAAATAAACATAATTTTATTCAAAACTAGCTTTACCATAGTTGTTTTTTCACAATTGTAGCAGTTACAACCTAACTCTTTTAAACTCGGATGTTCTATCTCTGGAAACAGACAATATTTAAAAAATTGAACCATGTTTTACCAGTTTCAAATCCAGGCCATTATAGACGAGTAATAGACCGGTAAAAGACAAACAAAATTATCGGCAGCAATGTTAACATGTCAATTCAGAGTTTGACTTGGTGTCCTAAATTTCATTTTGACAATTAGAGTCATTAATAATCATCCAGGTTATTAACCTTGAATAGTTACCCGGTACATCAGTGACAATAATTAACGCACAGACGTCATTGATAGAAATTATTAGCGAATGATGGTAAATAATAACTTCTTTTAATCATTATCGATCAAAATTACAAACTTTCTGTTTTAACTTTTAAGCAAGCTTGACTAGACACAAATATCAATTGCACACTTATTAATTACTACTGTAAATTACCTGTACAGAGTGTCCCAGTTAATTCTCCGCGACCTTATATCTTGAGAAGGAAGAAATAATGAAATTCTGTAATTGCTTTTTGCTCGAAGGGAAAGCATAATTTAGTTACAATATGACGCTCCACCACCATATTTTACGCACTTCTAAGACGCTCTTGAAACAAATCGTGTTGGTTGTAACTTACAGCACAGAGCCTGACTACTTCATTTCACTAAATTTTCATTTTTTTATGTTTATAAATTTTATTTTTTGATCAACAGATAATAATATAATTATGTGTTTTATATCATTGTAATTCAGTTTAAAGCTCCATCAAAGTCCCTGTACATTTATGTTGATAGAAATTTGAACTGATGGTAATTCTGTAAACACCATTGCTTTTTTCTTGAAGAGGAAAGCTTATATTTTTAAGGGTACTTAATTGCAAATCTTACCAAATGGACCAAAGTAAATATCGTCACTACATTCATACAGCAGGTAATTTTGAAATTACTGTTCTCTGATATTTGAAAATCCTTTGATCATCCGCTATTTATTTATATTTATATGTATAATTTTATGTAAATAAAGCATTTTATTTATTCTGTATAGGAAATTCTTAAAAATAATTTTAGTGATAGATATGTGTGTACACCAAGAGAGCAAAAACAAGTACGACCAAAGACTAACCTTCAAAAATCCACGACTGTCTTTGATCGTGTTTTTTATTGCTCTCGGTAGTTTTATGTTCTTTATTTTTAATTAAGTAAGGAAGTTTATAATATCTTATGTTGTTAGTTAGGCTTGACAAATATTCTAAGAATGGCTATATCTATATGTTATAAGATAATGTACAAGATGTACCCTAACACCTAATGTAAAAAACCAACAAAACAAAATCAATAAACCATAATAATAGTTATAATAAAACTGAACGAATTAATTTTCGATGCCGCTGGAAACAAAAATACAGATAACATAAATTCTTAATTAAAAAAAAAACATTCTCAACCAGATGGTCCTTATCACCTGAATTACAAATGTACAAATATCCAAAAAACTGGAAGACCATCGTAAAACAGTTATGCATTTGCTACAATAATCATGCAGTTTAGTATTATTGGTTGCCTATAGTCAAAATTTAAAAATATTAATCAATGTTTCAAATTCTCAAACAGGTTTCAGCCCTATTACGCAAACAAGAACAACAACAACAATATCAGAAAAAACAATATTAGACAAAACACAGGATTAAATTGAAGCTAAAGATACTAGCAACAGATGCGTTTAATTCTTTTGTTTTTTATTTAGACTTCTTTTTTACAATATATTGTTCCAAAAAATCACAAACAAAAAGATTTTGTCAATATTTTTGTAAATTTTAATTAATGCCTTGATATTAAAAAAAAACTGTAATGTCATGTTTGACTTCACTTTTTGTAATTATTGCACCCGCATGCTTTCACCTTGCACCGCCACTGAACGATGACACATTGCACAAAGATAAAGATTGTGTTGAACAGTGATATAAAACAATAATAAATAACAAGAATCAGCAGGGCACAATAAAACCGCTGGCTGACGTCATAGCAAAATATTTATTCAACACCGATAAAAAATCCCAATCGCAAATCCCAGGAAAGGAAAAAACCCTCGACCTAATCTCCCTCTTCCTCCCACATCCCATTGACGCAACATTTTCAAAAAATGACATTATTGTAAACAATGGCGATTCCGTGCATGTGTAAACGTGGCTTTAGCACTCTCATACCACTTTGCGCAAACGCAACAATTCCAGATCATAGTCGCCATATTCCAATCTGTCTAATCTGAAAATTCAGTAAGTAAATATTCGTATTTGAACGGAATCGTGGTGAAATTGGGCGAAATTGTCGGAAAAAGCCGAAAGATCTAGAAATTGCGTGTAAGTAGCTCTAACCCCGTCGAAATCCCCGCGCCCCCTTCGCCACAAATCCGTCCTTAAATTTTCCAACTATTGCATAAAGTACAATAGAAGTAGCAACAAATTAAATTCCGCACAAAGGGGGCCAGCGCGTTTCGACGCTTCCTGGGGCATCCTCAGCCCCGGCGGGGCCGTCGCCTCGCTCTGACACGTCGCGAATCGCGAAAAAACCCGCTGTGAAAATTTGACAGATGTTGGAAATCCGTGGGAAATTTTCTCCGCATTCGCAATAAGCAGCCCCAAAGCGACAGATGTTGGGGGTTTGTGCGGCGCCTGGCGCGGCCTCGGGCCATCCGCAGCCCCCTCGGGACTACTCTAGATTTGTGCATTGCAGGTGACCGTATTGAGCAGTCGAAGCCATGTCAGTGTTGAACCAGAGCGGCGAAGAGCAAGTGGAGTGCCCCCTCTGCATGGAGCCTCTGGAAGTGGACGACCTCAACTTCTTCCCGTGCACTTGTGGCTACCAGGTAGCCCCCTCGATTTCCGCGTAGCTGTAAAACATTCATTGTGTGTGTCGCAGATCTGTCGGTTCTGCTGGCACAGAATCCGCACCGACGAGAACGGGCTGTGTCCAGCGTGCCGCAAGGCCTACTCGGAGGACCCCGCCGACTTCACGCCCTTGTCGCAGGAGCAGGTGGCCAAGCTGAAGGCCGAGAAGCGCCAGAGGGACCAGCAGAGGAAGGCGAAGCTGAGCGAGAGCAGGAAGCACCTGGCCAGCGTGAGAGTGGTGCAGAGGAACCTCGTGTTCGTGGTGGGGCTGCCGATGCGGCTGGCCGACCCCGAGGTGCTCAAGAGGCACGAGTACTTTGGCAAGTTCGGGAAGATTCACAAGGTGGTTATCAATCAGAGTACGTCGTATGCGGGATCGCAGGGGCCCAGCGCAAGTGAGTAGCGTAAACAAAGAGATTAGTGGGTTCGTATGATCGGCGATAAGATAGCGCGTTTCCGCTAATTAAGGGGTCAACTGATCAAAAAATCGCGTCTGAAGTGAAAGTTGGAAGAAATGATTTGAGTTAAAGTTGAAGGTCGCCGCAAACAAAAACAAAGCTGGGAAGGATTGGGTGGACAAAAACGGTGTCGTTGACATCTGGGGGTTTTTGCGCTGGCGTTTTTGGGGTGAATGTGGCCGGCGATGTTTGCAATGTTTGTTGAATAAATTAGACGCTGAATGTGCCTTTCACCTAAAGGAATTCTAACCTCAAATTTATGCATTACCTAACGCGATAAAACTTTATCAAAAACAAATAAAATTATAATAACAAATGCACTTTTTGATATTGGAATGTTTTAACGTGGAAGTGAGCCAACGTGACTACCATGACCTTCACAGATGAAATATAAGTTAACTCGGTTGGTATTTATATTAATTTTTTTTCAAATTGAATTCCTGGCTGAAGAATCCTGGAAGGATGTTGCAAATATCCACTTAATTAGTTTTTAACGTGATGAATACTCCAACTGGAGGTCTTCATATGTTTCAAAGCTACCTTCAGAATTCAGAAGTTAATGTAGGTCAGGGCTGCCAAACTAGCAAACTAATACTAATTTTGTCTAATTATTCAAAATCTCGCTATTAACTTTCAAGGAAAACATTTTTTCGAGTCGATAATACTTTCTTTCGTCGGTATTTGTGTGCATTTAGAATGTGAGCAATAATTTTCATAGTGGTTTCAAAGGAAATTTTATTAAAACACGTAGATTCTCGCCCACATGGCGTTCCGGAAAATCGATACAATGAACGATTGGTTTTATTATTTTGCTGCGGTTGGTTATGGTGTTATGGAACTGAAAGGTGATAGTTGTTTGTTTTATTCACTAGGGAGATTGATTACACTTGGCATCACACTAAATTTTTTATTAATTGCTGTGTCCTCTCAGGGGTTATTAAAGTCAGTTTTACCGACCAGGAAAGGTCGAGAAATCTTTTCATTTAAGTGGAACAAAAGTAGTTAAAGTTTGTTTTCTTTTTGATTGATTTTAAAATACCAATAACTTGATTATTAATTAATTCTCAGCTCAGGTTGACCTATTTTTTGCATAATCGTGTTTATGTTCTAAATTGTTGCGTTCTAATTTAAACAAAACGTTTATTTTCGTGGGTTTACATTTCTAAGGTTAAATCATTCACATGAAAGTAAATACTAATTTGGGAAGAACTGTACACAAATCGTGTTACATTATTTTCCTTTTTACGTACTAGTAACAATTGTTCAATTTAATAGTATTAATGCCCTGTGTTTTAACGATTACAAGTCATGACAAAATCCACCAATGACAGCGAAGCATTGAGGGGAGGGGGATGGTCCGTATTGATGAGCGATTATACTTTTAACGACGAGATATACTCACTTATTTGATCAAAATACAATGTTGTGTTATTTATTAATTATAGTAAATGTTGAAAATAAATAAAACATGGAAAACGAACACACTAGTGACTAAAGTAATTAAAGATGTGTTTTCGTTCGAGAATGTTTAATATTTTTTACACTATTTTTTTGTCTCATTTTGCGTCAGGAACCTACTACGACAATAATTATAGCAATTTTAACGCAATGATAATTAGTGTTTGTTCGTTTTTGTTTTTTCGGAACGTAGTGTCAATCGGATTTGGTGATTTTTCTTTTCTAGAAGCTTAGTTCCATTGACTACAAATATAGGCCATTAATTTTAATTTATGTGTTTACAGCTATTATTGTTCAGATAAAAATTATGTAAAATAATATTGTTGTTTTTATTTATTGTATATTTTGTTTATAATGGCTTATAGTTACAAAAGAAAAAAAGTGGCAAACATGGTAAGAACAAGCATTTAATAATTTTTGACATGACGTCATCAGTTTTTGCAAGTGATCGATAAATCAATGTGACGTGAAGATAAAACATTTTCAAAAAACATCAAGTCGCCCTTGATTTTTTTATAAGCATTGTGAAGTATGTCCACAATAAACCCAAAATTTAATCGGTGAAACGTAAAATGGTACAATTTAACCTCACTTTTTCGTATAATAAAATTAACACTTTTCAACAACTTTTCTTTCAAATGTCAATTATACACAACAGAGTGGATTAATAAGACATATTGCAGGGCTTGTGAGATTCAGAGCTATTTTCTATTTATTTATTGTTCTATATACAGGGTGTTTTTTTATTTGATACAACTCCTGTAACTTTTTACTTCTGGGCGTAAGCTAAGGAAGTATAGTAATCGAGTCCATCGGATGAATGACCACTAGAGGACGAAAAAAGTTGTGTCCTGTTTCCGTCCATCCGTCTGTCTGTCTGTCTGTCTGGTGTTTGTATCCATTTTTATTAGACATGTAGTCTCCGAAACCGATTGTTGTCAAATTTTGATGTATATTAGAAATACCATGTAGATGATTAAATGCTAACCAGAATTTTGCTAATCATCCCCACCAACAAGTTGATGACGTCAGTTCAATGAATTTTATATTTATTTAATTTAACTGTTATACAACAATATATTCCTATTGGCCTTTCGTTTTTTTTTCCCCTTTTTTTTTTCTCGTTTTCTCTCACAGTGTATTGTCTATATTTATGAGGTCACAACAAATTTTTTATTGATGTAATTACCCCACTTTCTCGAATACGCCCTTCTTTATTTAAAAATGTAAAACCTCCTCGGGGGTGCGAAATGTATTTTTTTAAGAATATGAAACCGTCTTGGGGGTCCCAACTGTCTTTTAAAAATCTAAAACCTCGGGGACCCCAAATGTATTTTTTTAAGAATGTGAAACCTTCTCGGGGGTCCCAACTGTCTTTTGTAAAAATGTAAAACCTTCTCGGGGGTGCTAAATGTTTTTTTTTTAATGTGAAACCTCGGGGGTCCCAAATGTCTTTTGTAAAATTGTAAAACCTTCTCAGGGGCCCCAAATGTCTTTTTTTTAATGTAAAACCTTCTCGGGGACCCCGAATGTATTTTTTTCAAGAATGTGAAACCTTCTCGGGAGTCCCAACTGTCTTTTGTAAAAATGTAAAACCTTCTCGGGAGCGCTAAATGTTTTTTTTTTTTTTTTTTTAATGTGAAACCTCGGGGGTCCCAAATATATATTTTTTTTTTCAAAAAACCTTCTCAGGGGCCCCAAATGTCTTTTTAAGAATGTGAAACGTTCTCGGGGGTCCCAACTGTCTTTTGTAAAATTATAAAGCCTTCTCAGGGGCCCAAATGTCTTTTTTTTAATGTAAAACCTTCTCGGGGACCACGAATGTATTTTTTTCAAGAATGTGAAACCTTCTCGGGAGTTCCAACTGTCTTTTGTAAAAATGTAAAACCTTCTCGGGGGCGCTAAATGTTTTTTTTTAATGTGAAACCTTCTCGGGGGTCCCAAATGTATTTTTTTTTTTTTTTCAAAAAACCTCAGGGGCCCCAAATGTCTTTTTAAGAATGTGAAACGTTCTCGGGGGTCCCAACTGTCTTTTGTAAAATTATAAAACCTTCTCAGGGGCCCCAAATGTCTTTTTTTTAATGTAAAACTTTCTCGGGGACCCCGAATGTATTTTTTTCAAGAATGTGAAACCTTCTCGGGGGTCCCAACTGTCTTTTGTAAAAATGTAAAACCTTCTCGGGGGCGCTAAATGTTTTTATTTTAATGTGAAACCTTCTCGGGGGTCCCAAATGTTTTTTTTTTTTTCAAAAAACCTCAGGGGCCCCAAATGTCTTTTTAAGAATGTGAAACCTTCTCGAGGGTCCCAACTGTCTTTTGTAAAATTATAAATCCTTCTCAGGGGCCCCAAATGTCTTTTTTTAATGTAAAACCTTCTCGGGGACCCCGAATGTATTTTTTTCAAGAATGTGAAACCTTCTCGGGGGTCCCAACTGTCTTTTGTAAAAATGTAAAACCTTCTCGGGGGCGCTAAATGTTTTTATTTTAATGTGAAACCTTCTCGGGGGTCCCAAATGTTTTTTTTTTTTCAAAAAACCTCAGGGGCCCCAAATGTCTTTTTAAGAATGTGAAACCTTCTCGAGGGTCCCAACTGTCTTTTGTAAAATTATAAAACCTTCTCAGCGGCCCCAAATGTCTTTTTTTAAGAATATGAAACCTTCTCAGGGACCCCAAATGTCCTTTTTTTAATGTAAAATCTTCTCGGGGACCCCAAATGTATTTTTTTTTTTTTTCAAGAATGTGGAACCTTCTCGGGGGTGCTAATTTTTTTGTTTTTTAATGTGAAACCTTCTCGGGGGTCCCAAATGTATTTTTTTTTTTCAAAAACCTCAGGGGCCCCAAATGTCTTTTTTTTAATGTGAAACCTTCTCGGGGATCCCAAATGTATTTTTTTCAAGAATGTGAACCCTTCTCGGGGGTCCCAAATGTCTTTTGTCAAAATGTAAAACCTTCTCGGGGACCCCGAATGTATTTTTTTTTTCAAGAATGTGAAACATTCCTGGGGCTCCCAACTGTCTTTTTTAAAAATGTAAAACCTTCTCGGGGTCCCAAATATATTTGTTTAAAAATGTGAAACCTTCTCCTGGGTCCCAATTGTCTTTTGTAAAAATGTAAAACCTTCTCGGGGGCGCCAAATGTTTTTCTTTTTTTAATGTGAAACCTTCTCGGGGATCCCAAGTGTATTTTTTTCAAGAATGTAAAACCTTCTCGGGGACTCTAAATGTATTTTTTTTTCAAGAATGTGAAACCTTCTCGTGGGCGCTAAAATTTTTTTTTTTTTAATGTGAAACCTCGGGGATCCCAAATGTATTTTTTTTTTTCAAAAACCGCAGGGGCCCCAAATGTCTTTTTTAATGTAAAACCTTCTCGGGGACCCCGAATGTATTTTTTTCAAGAATGTGAAACCTTCTCGGGGTCCCAACTGTCTTTTGTAAAATTATAAAACCTTCTCAGGGGCCCCAAATGTCTTTTTTTTAATGTAAAACCTTCTTGGGGACTCCAAATGTATTTTTTTTTTCAAGAATGTGAAACCTTCTCGGGGGTGCTAAAATTTTTTTTTTTTAATGTGAAACCTTCTCGGGGGTCCCAAATGTATTTTTTTTTCAAAAAACCGCAGGGGCCCCAAATGGCTTTTTTTTAATGTGTAACCTTCTCGGGGATCCCAAATGTATTTTTTTTTCAAGAATGTGAAACCTTCTCGGGGGTCCCAAATGTCTTTTGTCAAAATATAAAACCTTCTCAGGGGCCCCAAATGTCTTTTTTTAAGAATATGAAACCTTCTCAGGGACCCCAAATGTCCTTTTTTTAATGTAAAATCTTCTCGGGGACCCCAAATGTATTTTTTTTTTTCAAGAATGTGGAACCTTCTCGGGAGTGCTAATTTTTTTGTTTTTTAATGTGAAACCTTCTCGGGGGTCCCAAATGTATTTTTTTTTTCAAAAACCTCAGGGGCCCCAAATGTCTTTTTTTTAATGTGAAACCTTCTCGGGGATCCCAAATGTATTTTTTTCAAGAATGTGAACCCTTCTCGGGGGTCCCAAATGTCTTTTGTCAAAATGTAAAACCTTCTCGGGGACCCCGAATGTATTTTTTTTTTCAAGAATGTGAAACATTCCTGGGGCTCCCAACTCTCTTTTTTAAAAATGTAAAACCTTCTCGGGGTCCCAAATATATTTGTTTAAAAATGTGAAACCTTCTCCTGGGTCCCAATTGTCTTTTGTAAAAATGTAAAACCTTCTCGGGGGCGCCAAATGTTTTTCTTTTTTTAATGTGAAACCTCGGGGATCCCAAATGTATTTTTTTCAAGAATGTGAAACTTTCTCGGGGGTCCCAACTGTCTTTTTAAAAAATGCATAACCTTCTCGGGGGCCCAAATGTATTTTTTTAAGAATGTGGAACCTTCTCGGGGGACCCAAATATCTTTTTTTTTTTAATGTGAAACCTCTTACCAGAAAAAATCAAAGCAACGAATGTTCAAAAATTAATAAAATAGTTATTCAATAAAATAGACAACATATAAAAAGACCCATATTTGTGGAAATAATTTTAAATTTTAGCCCTTATTAACACGATAAATTCGTAATGTTTAAATATTGTACACGATATGTATATGTACAGTTAGTTGTCGCTTGAACGAAGAAAACAGTGCCCAGTATATTTTTAATAGTGCGCAAATGAATGTCTCTAACTGTAACAAGCGAAAATTAACATTTTTAAACGTGAACAGCATCGTCGTTATTTTCCAGGTGCCTACGTGACATACATGAAGAGCGACGACGCGTTACGGGCCATCCAGAGCGTCAACAACATAACCATAGACGGTCGCCTGATAAAATCCAGTTTAGGCACGACAAAATATTGCAGTCACTTTATGAAAAACCAACCTTGTCCGAAACCAGATTGCATGTACCTCCACGATTTTGGTGAGTTCCGGTCGAATTGCGAACGTTCACGAAACGTACGTATCGTGTGTTATCTTAAAAAACTATTAGCCTAAATAGACCACGTCCAGACGAAGTTGGCGAACCGGTTCACTTTAATAGTGCTGTTCTTTGTTTAAAGGAGATCCAGAAGCCAGCTTTACGAAAGAACAGATGCACGCGGGGAAACACCAGGAGTACGAAAAGAAATTGCACGAGGCGCTACTGCAGAGGAGCAACAATAATAACACTAATAATAGTAATCAGAATAACATAACTCAAGGTAAGGATGATCGCTGTGGGTGTCGTTGAGGATTGGGTTTATTATTAACGTAATAAATTGCTTTAAAGGTTGTGCATAATTTTTTCCGAGGTGGCATGTGTTCGTTCTAATGTATCTATGTGAAGGTATTTGGTTTCGAAAAGGCGGGAATACTCAGATTTTGGGAAATTTTTGGGGTATTTATCTTTTATTTACTCAAGTAAAAGTTGAATGAAAATACATATATTACAAGAAATAAATGCTGTGTTGTGCTCATGTGACAAACATCCGACAGTAAAAATTAGTACAATCAAAAACAGTCTGCTTTTGTTTTGATAAGTTCAAATTGGTTACAGATTTGATAACTTACGTTTGCTTATAAATATTTCGATATCGTTATCAGATAAAAAAATAACCGTCTTATCCGAAACAAAATCTGAGACACCCAGCTTGCAAAGTATTTTTAGAAGTTAGAAAAGTTTATTAGTAACTTTCGGTCTAAATCATTAAAATACCTGGGATTGCTAGACGTCGAGAAATATTTTTATTCAATGAAAAGCAAGAAAGCGTGAAGGTTAATTACATAAATATATAATGCAAAATTCATGACTATATAGGTACTTTATTTATTGTTAACGTTTTACCTATTTTGTACAGCTGTTACATAATATAGAAGCTATTTTGTAAGACGTAGATAAAAATAAAACCATATTAGAAATTCTGTTGATCAAATTTAAAAAACTCCCTTTTTATTTTTTCTCACTATTTTCAGAAGTTTTCACGGTTTTCGTTGTTTATAATAAGAACTGAATTACAAAATCGTCAAACCAATTTCTGTTTAAACAATTTTGCACGTTTTCAAGTTCCGCGTTTAAGATGTTTGTGTCTTAAGGTCGATTTATAAACTTGTCGTTGACGTTGTCGTAAGATAAATACGCAGCGAAGGTATGCGTCGTTTATATTATCCGCTGAAAGTTGGCACGCCTGAAGGAAAATCTCCTGAAGTAGGAGGGGCATTTTCTGGTTGACACCACTAATTGACGACGAATAAAAAAATCATCAGAATTGAGATAGGGCGGGTGGGCGGGGCTTATATTTTACCGTTTTTCTTAATATGTGTAGACTTATTTCGACAACGAGAAACTTAAAAAATGCCTAAAATGGTGAATTTTTGCAAGGAAATATAGATTTTTCAATTATGGGGCGGAGCCTAATTGCAAAATCGATATTTCCTTATAGAAATTTTCCATTTTAAACTTAAGTTTCCTGTTGTGAAAAGAAGTCTACACATATTAAAACGAAAAGATAAAATTTAAGCCCGCCCACCCACCCTGTCTCAATTGTGATGATTTTTTTTATTCGGTGTGAATCAAGAGGGCGGAGCTTAACTGCAAAATACTTATTTCTTTACTAGAAATTAAAAACATGTTTTTGAGTATCGTGTTCAAAAAATACTATGTATATTAAGAAAAAAAGGCACAATATAAACCCCGCCCACCCACTCCATCTCGATTGTGATGATTTTTTATTCTTAGAAACTTAAAACACTTTTAAAATGGTATTTTTTTTACCATGTCTTACATGGCTTATATTTTGCCTTTTTTCTAAATATACATAGTATTCTTTGAACAACAGGATACTCAAAAACATGTCTTACATGGTAATTTCTTGATGAAATTTCTTGTAGAGAAATAATAAGGATTTTGCAATTAAATTCCGCTCTTTTGGCTGTCGACGATTTAAAAAAAAATCATCACAATTGAGATAGGGTGGGTGGGCGGGGCTTATATTTTCCTTGTTTCTTAATATACATAGTTGTCTTTTCAGAACAAGAAACTTAAAACATGTTTAAAATTGTAAATTCTTGTAGACAAATATGGATCTTGCAATTAAGCCCCGCCCCTCGATCTGACAACGAATGAAAGATTCATCACAATTGTGAATTGAGGTCGGGGCGGGTATGGGTGGGGCCTAATCTTTGGCTTTATTTTTGTCTCAAAACAGATAATATTCTTTGAACAACACGATACCCAAAAACATATTTTTACTTTCTCGTAAAGAAAGAAGGATTTTGCAGTTAAGCTCCGCCCTCTTGGGTCACAACGAATAAAAAAAATCATCACAATTGAGATAGGGAGGGTGGGCGGGATTTAGATTTTGCCTTTTTTTCTTAATATGTGTGTGCAGTCATCTTTTCACAACAATGAACTTAAAACATGTTTAAAATGATAAATTTGTATAGGGAAATATCGATTTTGCAATTACGCTCCGCCCCTCGGTCTGACAACGAATGAAATTTCATCACGATTGAGATCGAAACGGATGGGTGGGGCTTCTCTTTTGGTTTTCTTTTTTAATTAGTACATTTAGTTTTCTTTGTATAACACGAGTACTTAAAAACATATTTCATATGGTAATTTCTCGTAGAAAAATCAGGATTTTACAATTAAGTGCCGCCCCTCGGCTTACGAAGAATAAAAAAAATCATCAGAATTGAGATAGGGTGGGTGGGCGGGGCTTATATTGTCAATTTTTTTCTTAATATACATAGCCATCTTTGGATAACAGGAAACTTAAAACATGGTTAAAATGGTACACTTTTGAAAGGAAATATGGATTTTGCAATTATGGGGCGGAGCCTAATTGCAAAATCGATATTTCCTTAAGAAAATTTCCATTTTAAACATGTTTTAAGTTTTATATCGTGAAAAGAAGTCTACACGTATTAAAACGAAAAAGTAAAATTTAAGCCCGCCCACCCACCCTGTCTCAATTGTGATGATTTTTTTTATTGGTCGTGAACTAAGAGGGCGGAACTTAACTGCAAAATACTTATTTCTTTACAAGAAATTAAAGACATGTTTTTGAGTATCGTTTTGTTCAAAGAATACTATGTATTTTAAGAAAAAAAGGATAAATATAAACCCCGCCCACCCACCCCATCTCGATTGTGATGATTTTTTTTCTTATAAACTTAAAACACGATTAAAATGGTACATTTTTGTAAGGAAATATGAATTTTGTAATTAAGCACCGCCCCTCGGTCCGCCAACAAATGGAAACTTCATTATTATCAAATCAGAGCAGGTATGGGTGGGGTTAATCTTTGGTTTTAATTTTTTATTGATATACATAGTGTTCTTTGAACAACAGGGTACTCAAAAACATGTCTTACATGGTAATTTCTTGATGTAATTTCTTGTAGAGAAATAATAAGGATTTTGCAATTAAATTCCGCTCCTTTGGCTCTCGACGATTTAAAAAAAAATTATCACAATTGATAGGGTGGGTGGGCGGGGTTTATATTTTTCTTGTTTCTTAATATACGTAGTTGTCTTTTCAGCACAAGAAACTTAAAACATGTTTGATATGATAATTTTTTATAGACAAATTTGGATCTTTGGCTTTATTTTTGTCTCAATACAGACAGTATTCTTTGAACAACAAAAATACCCAAAAATGTTTTTAATTTCTCGTAGAGAAATAAGGATTTTGCAGTCAAGCTCCGCCCTCTTGGCTCACGACGAATAAAAAAAATCATCACAATTGAGACCGGGTGGGTGGGCGGGGCTACATTTTGCCACTTTTTTCTGAATATGTGTAGACTTATTTCGACAACAATAAACTTAAAACTTGTTTAAAATCGTCAATTTTAAACGGTTGAACATCAAAGGTACTGTCAACGGCAACTTCAACGTCAACAGCAAGTTTATAAATCCCACTTTAGCAGTGAGATTTGCTTAAACAGCGCATGCGTTTGTGAACGTTTTTAAGCATGGTTCAAAAAGTGTGACGTTCCTCCTGAGAATTGAAAAAGTACAGTTTTCTCCCTGTCCTGCATGTAGTAGAAAAAGATAGACTAACAAACTTAGAAGAAAATTTATAAACTAACATCTTAGAATAAACAATGTTAAAAAGAAAAGTTTAAAACACTAATAAACACAAAAACATTGGTCGTAATTTTGAATTGCATGGACTAAGTAAGTACACACATAGAAGAAGTAATTATGCGACAAAACAAGTACAGTTGAGGTTATAAAAATTTTTGTGACAGTCCTTCGGTAGCGCCATCTATACCAGTCGTCTGTACGTCTTGGTTATATCCTTCGTTCGTGCTCTTTGTTCCATAAAAAATCTACAATAGCAAAATTACAACTGAAAGACCATATTCAGTGAAATTTCGTTCCATAAAGTAATTCGGTTGTTTTGGTTAATAGAACTTGCTAAATATTTTCATATTTTTTCAAAAGAGGACGATCACAAGAAAACCGCTCCGTTTTTTGTTTAATTTATAAACTATAGTGACGTCATTGTGCAAACAAACTTAAATAAAATCTTCAGAACGGTCACTCGGTGCACTGACACAAACACGTTATTAACTGTCGACGTGTTTCGACAACTTCATTGCCATCTTCTTCACACTAAATTGATTAATTGATTTGAGTTTTTTAATAATAACGTGCTTGTGTTAATTTAAACTGACTTAAACAAATATTATGTGCTTAGTGGTTTCTTGCAGGTAAGACGATGAATGGATTATTTTTCTTTTTTGTACATTCATTCAAGTGTTTTATCGTCTCTCATTCGTCCCAGCACATGTTTTCACCTCATTCTCGTTCACGTCAAAACGTATCCATTTTTAATAGTAACCCCGTTTGAATTGACAGATGTCAAAAATAATCCGAAACGTCAAGTCTTGATCCATGCCTACTATGTTTGTTGTATTTCAGAATATCGTTACCGACTTTCATGCAAATTTTGTTTTTCACTGAATATGGGCTTTAACGAAATTACTATTAGTATTATCATTCCGGGTGAATTTTATCCATATTTAAGTTGAACTACATTATATCATAAACTTTATTTTCTTGTATTTAAATCGGTGACAAATTTGATGACACACTTCGTCCACAGGTCAAAGTAACACCACCACAACAGCAACCACCACGACGACGACTTCGGCAACGACGACAGAACAAACGAAAGCGACCTCAAAAAGCAAAGAAACGACGACGACGGGGGCGGCGGCGGCGGCGGCGAACGGAACAAACAAAGAGAACTGGCCACAGTTGACCGACAAAGAAAAAGAAAAGAAACAGGAAAAAACAGAAGGCAGTAAAGACAAACCAAAAGGCAAAAGCAAAGTCGCGAAAGAAAAGAAAGAGAAGAAGTCGGGCGAGAGCACAAGTCAAACCGCAAAGACGGAGAAGGAGAAGGAGAGCACGAGTAGCAAGAGCGCGAAAGAGGAGAGCATCGAAAAGCTGTCGATCCTCGACGACAATTCCAGTTTCTTTTCGCACAACACTTTCCAGAAAATCGTTCCAGAGAGCCGGGAGGACGACACCAGCCCGGCCCACCCCTCCCCCATCCTGACCGACTCGATGCCCGACATCGGCACCAGCGAGGACTGGGCGGCGGCGTTCGGCTTCAACAAGATCGAGACCCTCCAGAACTGCACCGAGAGCAGTTCGCCGATAGACTCGTTCTTTCGTACGGACGACTTTAGGAACTTAATCGAGGCGTCGAAGCTGCAAGACAACATCAGGGACGCGCTGGCGAAGAATAACGGGTACACGATGAAGCCGCAACCGCAGACGCAGGACAGTTATTTCGGGAAGGAGTCGGGGTTGGACCAGCACATGTCGAAATTTTTCATGGACTTCCACCAGAAGAACGGCCAGAAAGAGAACTCGTACAATATGGGGGTGAATCATAGTATGAACAGCGGTATGAACGGGTTTAGTCATCTGAACAACTACTTCATGAATCCGGATCGGTTGTTGTTGTTGCAACAGAAGAAGTTGGAGGAGCATCTGATGAGTCTGTCGATGAAGCAACACCAGAGTTACGGGCCGATGAGCACGCACAGTAGTGGACAGTATAGGAACGGGGACGTGGGGCAGAATGGGTACGGTGATCAGTGGTCCTTCCAAAGCCAACAGACGCAGATGAGTAAGAGTAGGACACATTCGGAGGACGATTTGGGCTTCGATCCGTTCCAAGAGACGCAGAAGGCGTTAGCGGAGTTAATAGCGAACGAACAGAGTTATAAGACACATAATAATGGTGAGTAACTGCAAGGGTACGTGGAACGAGTTATTTATTTGTATTAGTGTGACGAACGCTGCAAAAATGTGCTCTAGATGCTGGTTTTTTCTAATTGTAAATTGGAAATGTAGCAGGTGTCTCACTTTTTGTTTCACAACGAAATGCGGTATTACTGGATGAGCAACCTTTTTTTTTTCACAAAGTGAGTCATAGACCAAAATTGTACCGTTGTTCGAGGACTACTCTCTAAAATTGTTTTTAACTATACACCCTATATATTTTTACATATTTTAAATGCTTACAATTACAGTTCATTTTTGAGATTTCGATCCAATGTTGCCACGTTATTCCAATTTTCTTGAACTTTTTTAGTAATAGGAAGGTCCGAAAAAATATTCCATTAAGGTTATTTTTACCATCTGTGTTACAATATTTTGTGGAGGGATGAAATTAAATTTTCATGTATAGAGTGTTTATTAAAAAAATAATTATTACAATCTTCAAATATCGATATTTCAGTTTTCTCAAATAAAACACCGTACATTTTGTTTTCTTTCTTTTTTATTAAGTATTTTCTATATTTAAAGTTGATAGTTACCCACTGCAGTTTTTTACTTTTTAGGACACATCGACATATTAAAAGAATAAGAACAGCAAAGTAGAGTAAGATACAGTAATAAAACACAGGGTGTCGTATTTAAAAAAATTGAAATGTCGATATTTGAAAGTTGTAAAGTTTACATTTTTTATAGACACTCAGTATATTAAAATTTGATTTAATTGACACCACAACAAAGCTCCTATTAATATGTAATAAATGAAACAGTACTAGCCCCGCCCACCCACCCTTTATTTTTAAGGTAGTTCTCTTTTGATTAGATTTCTTGTGATCAATGCTCCTATTTTTTTTTTTTTTTGTTAATACTTTTACTTTCCATACAGGTGAAACGTCAATTTTACACACTACGTGTTACTATTTCTACATAATGGAGACTACACCAAATAAAATTGATATTATGATATTAGTTAGTTTTCGAGGAAAAAAAGGTCCAATATCCTTTGAATGCGTTCTGTTTTATCTCGATTTCGTTTTAATATCTACCTTGAATTTATATTCTAACCTATAAAAATAACTTTTTGAGGTCAGCGACTACCAACAATTATTTTAAAATAAATTTCATGGCCTACTAGACGACTCGATTTTTTCAGTCGCATGGTGAAATGGATAAAACGAATTAAAAACAATAAAAATTGAGGATAAAAATAAACGTGAAGCCATAGGTTTGCATTTTTATGTAACTTATGGTTATTTTTTTCTATTTTTAGTCTGGTACATCATTAATTTACATTGACAAACTAAGTAGTTAATAATTTATGAAGTTTCGTTAGATTCATGTTTATTTCATAAAAAATTGGCCGAAGGTTATTTAGACAGGACTCTAAGAAAAGAGGGCTAGTAGCTGTCAAAATGAGACTTGATTTTTTCTAATGAGATACTTTCTAAGATAAAACAGAGGGTGGGTGGGCGGGGCTAGTACCTGTTAAGATAAAACTGAATTTGGCAAATGAGATACCTTCTAAGAAACGAGAGGGTGGGTGGGCGGGGCTAGTACCTGCTAAGATAAAACTGATTTTGGCAAATGACATATCCTCTAAGAAAAGAGGGGGTGGGTGGGCGGGGCTAGTACCTGCTAAGATAAAACTGATTTTGGCAAATGACATATCCTCTAAGAAATTTAATTAAATTATTATAAGAAAAGACATTACAGACTCCAAAGCACTTTGCATTTTTTTCCAAACACGAATACCCACAACCTCAAGATTGTTTTAAATTTTTCAAAAAAATCTCCATGGGCTCCCAAAATAATACACCATGGTTACCCAAGAGTTTCCCGAATTAAAAAAAAAACACTGCGGCACTGAAAACTTTTTCAAATTCATAAAAAATAAAACACTAAAAGCTCATTTGTTCAAGTTCATCCAGCAACGAAACACCAGATTCCTGTAAATTTATCCGAAAATAAAACACCAAGGGACCTAAAATTAACTGTGAACATTTTAAATGTAGGGTTTTGAAAACTTTGACAATTTTTGATACGTCAGTAGCTGCTAAGATACTTTGGCAAATGACATATTCTCTAAGAAAATAAAGGGCGGAGCCTCTAGTGTCTCCTCTTATGACTTCTTCTTGAATTTTTTGCTGATTTTTAAACAAATTCGCCAAAATTTCAAAATTGTAAATGAAGCTTTTTACTTTTTCCCAAGTATCGTCAGAAATTACCAAAGGAGATCTTTGGGTTGGTTGGATTTTCAAAAGTGTCTTCAAGCTTTATTTCTCGAAATTTTCACGCATTTTCCAAAATATCAATTACGAAATATGGCAATATATTTTGAAAATTTGAATTTGACCAAGATTTTTTTTCATAATTTTTCCCCCGAGTTTTTGGTAAATTTTTTAACAAATTCGCCAAAATTTCGACATTTCAAATTTAAATTTTTGACTTTTTCCCGGCATCATGATTCTACAGAAATTACTAAAAGAGATTTTTGGTTCATTTGGGCTTTCAAGAGTGTTTTATAGCGTCGTTTCTTTAAAAATATTCACCAATGTCCCAAAATCGCCATTATATTTTGAAAATTTGAATTTGGTAAAAGTAGTTCGAAAATCAGTAGTCGTTTAGGCTTGAGATTACTTTTTCTCATAGATTCATAATTCCTTCGACAACACGATTTTTTCATTACTTTCTTGTAGATTTTTTTGCTGATTTTTAAACAAATTCGCAAAATTTCAACATTTTAAATGAAACTTTACGTTTTCCTAAGTATCGTCAGAAATTACCAAAGTAGATCTTTGGGTTGGTTGGATTTTCAAGTGTCTTCAAGCTTTATTTCCCGAAATTTTCACGCATTTCCCAAAATCTCAATTATGAAATATGGCAATATATTTTGAAAATCTGAATTTGACCAAGATTTTTTTTCTTAATTTTTTCCCCCGAATTTTTGGTAAATTTTTTAACAAATTCGCCAAAATTTCAACATTTCAAATTGAAATTTTTGACTTTTTCCTAGGCATCATGATTATACAGAAATTACTAAAGGAGATTTTTGGTTCATTTGGGGTTTCAAGAGTGTTTTACAGCGTCATTTCTTTAAAAATATTCACCAATGTTCCAAAATCGCGATTATGAAATATGGCAATTTTTGATATATTTTAAAAATTTGAATTTGAAAAAATAGTTCGAAAATCAGTCGTCGTTTAGGTTTGAGTTTACTTTTTCTCATAAATTCATAATTCCTTCGACAACACGATTTTTTCATTACTTTCTTCTAGATTTTTTGCTAATTTTTAAACAAATTCGCAAAATTTCAACATTTTAAATGAAACTTTTTACTTTTTCCCAAGTATCGTCAGAAATTACCAAAGTAGATCTTTGGGTTGGTTGGATTTTCAAAAGTGTCTTCAAGCTTTATTTCTCGAAATTTTAACGCATTTCCCAAAATCTCAATTATGAAATATGGCAATATATTTTGAAAATTTGAATTTGACCAAGATTTTTTTTTCATAATTTTACCCCCGAATTTTTGGTAAATTTTTTAACAAATTCGCCAAAATTTCAACATTTCAAATTGAAATTTTTTACTTTTTCCCAGGCATCATGATTCTACAGAAATTACTAAAGGAGATTTTTGGTTCATTTGGGCTTTCAAGAGTGTTTTATAGCGTCATTTCTTTAAAAATATTCACCAATGTCCCAAAATCGCCATTATGAAATATGGCAACTTTTGATATATTTTGAAAATTTGAATTTGGAAAAAATAGTTCGAAAATCAGTCGTCGTTTAGACTTGAGATTACTTTTTCTCATAGATTCATAATTCCTTCGACAACACGATTTTTTCATTACTTTCTTCTAGATGTTTTGCTGATTTTTAAACAAATTCGCCAAAATTTCAACATTTTAAATGAAACTTTACTTTTTCCTAAGTATCGTCAGAAATTACCAAGGTAGCTCTTTGGGTTGGTTGGGTTTTCAAAAGTGTCTTCAAGCTTTATTTCTCTAAATTTTCACGCATTTCCCAAAATCTCAATATGAAATATGGCAATATATTTTGAAAATCTGAATTTGACCAAGATTTTTTTTTTCATAATTTTTCCCCCGAATTTTTGGTAAATTTTTTAACAAATTCGCCAAAATTTCAACATTTCAAATTGAAATTTTTGACTTTTTCCCGGTATCATGATTCTACAGAAATTACTAAAGGAGATTTTTGGTTCATTTGGGCTTTCAAGAGTGTTTTATAGCGGCATTTCTTTAAAAATATTCACCAATGTCCCAAAATCGCCATTATGAAATATGGCAATTTTTGATATGTTTTGAAAATTTGAATTTGGAAAAAATAGTTCGAAAATCAGTCGTCGTTTAGACTTGAGATTACTTTTTCTCATAGATTCATAATTCCTTCGACAACACGATTTTTTCATTACTTTCTTCTAGATGTTTTGCTGATTTTTAAACAATTCGCCAAAATTTCAACATTTTAAATGAAACTTTACTTTTTCCTAAGTATCGTCAGAAATTACCAAGGTAGCTCTTTGGGTTGGTTGGGTTTTCAAAAGTGTCTTCAAGCTTTATTTCTCGAAATTTTCACGCATTTCCCAAAATCTCAATATGAAATATGGCAATATATTTTGAAAATCTGAATTTGACCAAGATTTTTTTTTTCATAATTTTTCCCCCGAATTTTTGGTAAATTTTTTAACAAATTCGCCAAAATTTCAACATTTCAAATTGAAATTTTTTACTTTTTCCTAGGCATCATGATTCTACAGAAATTACTAAAGGAGATTTTTGGTTCATTTGGGCTTTCAAGAGTGTTTTATAGCGTCATTTGTTTAAAAATATTCACCAATGTCCCAAAATCGCCATTATGAAATATGGCCATTATGAAATATGTTTTGAAAATTTGAATTTGGAAAAAATAGTTCGAAAATCAGTCGTCGTATAGGCTTGAGATTAC